TCTTTCTCCCTCCATTGTCCAACTACGTCTAACCCAGGTGTTCCTAAATCCTAGAGCTAGCTAAGGGTCTTTCCTTTGTGGTCCCATAACACTTTGTGAATATGTGTTATATTTAACTCATTTAAAATGTGTTTGTCTCCCTCATCAGACTGAGTCCCTTGAAGGCCAGTAGGATTTCCTCTTTATTTCTACTTCCCTCAAGTGCAACGTAGTGAATGATACATAGTGGTATCTCAATAAATGTTTACTGAGCCAAATTCATGTTCATTGGGGTTTTCTGTAGCTCTCAGGAGGCATTCAGCAATATTATAGTTGGCTAAGTTTAGAAAAATTAAGAATTGCAAAATGACTCATAAGTGTATCTTTGTCTTGAACACTCTTGGGGAAAAATACCAGTTTTGTTATAAGAGAAGCACTAATCAACTTAAGTTGAGTTGTGAATGGTCATTATATAAGAAACTAAAATCCCATAAGCATTTTTTCTCTTATTCTTGTAGTTAGCTTAAATAGAGTGAAGAGCTTTTTCCGCCGTATTTCCGTGCCACCATAATAGTGAACATGAATGTCCTGGCTGATGCTCTTAAGAGCATCAACAATGCCAAAAAGAGAGGCAAACGCCAGGTTCTTATAAGGCCTTGCTCCAAAGTCATTGTCCAGTTTCTAACTGTTATGATGAAGCATGGTTACATTGGCGAATTTGAAATCGTCGACAATTACAGAGCTGGGAAAATTATTTTGAATCTCACAGGCAGGTTAAACAAGTGCAGAGTGATCAGCCCAAGGTTTGATGTGCAACTCAGAGATTTAGAAAAATGGCAGAATAATGTGCTTCCATCCCGCCAGTTTGGTTTCATTATACTGACAACTTCATCTGGCATCATGGACCACGAAGAAGCAAGAAGAAAACACACAGGAGGGAAAATCCTGGGATTCTTTTTCTAGGGATGTAATCCATGCTGAAAAATAAGATGCCTCAGTGAAATAAATAAATAAATAAATAAATAGAGTGAAGACATTTGCCAAATACTTGGGCTTCCCACAGCATCGTATTTTCTGCTGAATCATTTGTTCCTTGTCAATTGTGTTCCTCTGTATAGATAACTTCACTTGTATCAGCCACCTGTTCTAAAATTGCCTTCGTTTCTTTTCTCCATTTATTACTTATTGACTTTCTGTTATGAAATAGAAAAGCAGTGTTGTTTCTGAGCTTTGTCATTACCAGTGTTCAATAGGCATCTCTGTGTCGCTGAGAGGCATTTTTCATTCTGTTCTTCTGAATTTTCAGACCTCAGTGCCCAGGATATAGATTCAGCATAGAGAAGAATTTGATTATATAGAACAGGCGTCCTCAAAGTATGGCCTGCAGGCCACATGCGGCCCACCTAGGACATTTATCCAGCCCGCCGGGTGTTTTTGCCACGGCTGCCTGTCCTGCTTAGCAGCCAACCTATCCCGGGGCCCGCAGTCCGGCCCTCCAACAGTCTGAGGGACAGTGAACTGGCCCCTGTTTAAAAAGTTTGAGGACCTCTGATATAGAAGATCATATAGGAAAACATTATAAATTCCTTTTCATCAGAAAATCCTTAATTTCATGAGAGTGAATGTATTAGTTTGCTAAGGCCACCATAACAAAATGTCACAGACAGGGTGACTTAAAAAAAACACAGATTAATTTCTTCATTGTTTTGGAGGCTAAAAGTCCAAGACCAAGATATCAGCAGGGCCGTATTCTTCTGAGGGCGTCTCTCTTTGGCTTAGATCTTCTTCCAGTGTTTTCACCAGATCTTTCCCTGTGCCTGTGTCCTGATCTCTTCTTACACAGACACTAGTCATAGTGGATTAGGACCTACCCATGTGATTTCATTTTACCTTAATCATCTCTTCTAAAGCCCTATTTCCAAATATAGTAATATTCTGAGATACTAGGAGTTAGGACTTAGGACTCCAACATATGAAATTGGGAGGGTTGGAAAGGACACACAAGTCAGCCCATAACAATGAATAATGCAATAATTTAAAATCCCATTCAGATACTGAAGAGATTCTCAGGTTGCTGAAATACTTTTCAGTGACTACTTAATAAATATGTCTGCTTCTTTGCCTTTTCATAGATCTGAGTGCTGCCTTCCTTTCTGTTCATAATTTTACCCTTGCTGATTCCTAGAAGTAACCGTCTGCCCCAAATGGTCAGTGCAGAGAGAATACTAGTGTTCCTCTCTCTTCAGGAATTCTGGGGTAAAAGTTTTATCAGAAAACAAAAGAGTACTTGGATACTTTTCTTTAAGATAATAATAAACCATTATTTACCATTTACTGAATGTTTATTTTGGGTAAGTCATTTGATGTAATTATCACAGCAAATCTGCAGCATAGATGTCATTATCCCCGCTTGATAGATGAAGAAACTGAGGCTCAGGGAGATGAGTAACCTTGCCCTGAATACTACTTATTTTGCTTTTTCTTTCTTAGGACACCTGTTGGTTGTGAGATTAGAAATGTGGGAAAGAAGTGAAGGATATATCAGATTCACAGCCACTCAGCTACTTGGTGGCAACCTGAGATTTAGGGATCCTCAGAGAGGGCAGAAGCTGTCGCACAATCTACCACTTAAACTGGGTCGATTGACTCTGGGTTACTTTAGGCCAGCAGCTTTGGACTATGGCCTAGATTGAATTACGGTTGTCTTGGCAACTTTGATTCAGAGGTGGACTCAAAACTTTAGAACAGGTAATATGAACTCTAGGAAGGTAGATTACTAAATGTGTTTTATTATGGGATTGTAGGACATCATTACAGGGGACAGCCTTGAAATGAGCTGTAGATCAGTGGTTTTGTACCCTAAGTCAGTGTTGGAACAACGTGAAGAGCTTTCAGAATGCCTGGGTTTCAACCATAGAGATCTTTATTGAGATGGGTATGGGCCTTAACATCTGTAGTTTTAAACAGTTGCCAGAGTCAATCTGATCCACAGCCAAAGTTAGGAATTAATGAGCATGGCCAGGGATGGCAAGCTATGGCCAATGGACCAAATCTGGCCTGCTGCCTTTTTTCATGTGACACATAAACTAAGAATAGTTTTTAATTTTTAAATAGTTTTAAAAAGTTATAAGAATAACATTTTGTAACACATGAAAATTATATGAAATGTGAATTCCAGTTTTCATAATTCAAATTTTATTGGCCCACAGACTTGCTCACTTACATATTCTCTATGGCTACTTTCCTGCTACAGCAACAGAGTTGAGTAGTTGTAATAATGAGCATGGTGCCGATATAGTGTGAACTGTATGGCCTTTTATAGAAAATATTTCTTGACCCCCAACTTAGGTTAAGTAGCGGTCATCACAGAGCTGGTTTAGAATTTTAAAAGGAGGCATAGGCTCAGTGCCCGTAGCTTAGTAGTTAAGGCGCCAGCCATATACACCGGGGCTGGTGGGTTCACACCCGGCCCGGGCCTGCTAAATAACAATGACAACTACAACAAAAAATAGCTGAGCATTGTGGTAGGCACCTGTAGTCCCAGCTACTTGGGAGTCTGAGGCAAGAGAATTGCTTAAGCCCAAGAGTTTGAGGTTGCTGTTGCTATGTGCTGGAGCGACATAGTGAGATTCTGTCTCAAAAAAAAAAAAAAAAAGGAGGCATAGATTTGTGTAACTTGTGTGTGTAGTATATTTTGCATTTTGTTTTCCTGTGTTTTTTTCCCCCTAGCAGTGGGAAATTGATGAATCTGTAACAAAGATGATTGAACACATACTTTTTTCTTCAAAACACACAAGTACAAAGAACATAGAGTCCATGAAACAAAATGATCCAGATCTTTTTAACTAGATTTCCCTTCCAATATCCGTTTTCTATTTCATTCCCACCCGCAAACCCTTCCTTTTTCTCTTTTCTTTCTTCTTCTTTTTTTTTTTTTAATTTTGTCTTTCCCCAACCTTCTGTTCCATGTTTTGAGATTAATGGCAGTTAGGTGCTTGAGAACATTTACTTTCCCTGATTCAATGTTGGAAAAAAGGGAGCAGTGTTTATAGGAATGATTCCAATATAAAAATTTAGTTGAGCAAGATTAGGAAAATACCACTGACGGTCATGATGGTTTATTTCTACCTTCTACTTTTCATCCACTTGGATCCAGAAAACAAGAAAAGTATTGAGGGTAGTAAAATTCACAGTAAATGGAAAAAACTGAGGAAGATCAATCTCTACCATTAGGTTGTGTTTTGTGCAGAGATGTAGGCACTATTTGCTTCCAAACCAGCCCATCCAGTTCGGTATGAGAGATCATAACCTTAGGCTTGGGTGCAGTGCTTCAGGCTTTTGTTTATTTTGTTTTTACCTATATTTTTGGTGGTGCTAATGGTTGGGGGTGACAGGAAGTAAGAGGTTGATATGTATCAGTTTGTAAGCATATGATAGCATGGATTTAAAAAAAAATAATGATGAACCTGTATCATTGAACTGATAAAAAACGTATTTGATTTCTAAATAGTTTCTGGTAGTCACTGGATGATAGTTTTCTACGACCTTGAGAATCTCCTAATGAAACTGCTTGGTGTCTTGGGTATTGCAAGGCTGCCTTCATGTTTACATGTTCTCATTTTTATCCTGTCCTTCCTCCATCCTAGCGAAGTGGCTACAATCCCAGGCATATTTCCCCTACAGCCACCTGGAAGGAAGCCAGCAATGTCATTACAGATGGCAGTGCGCCCAGACTATCTTAAAAAAGCATCATCTCTGCTACTAATTAAGTTTCAGGAAGGGTGATATTTGCTTTTATATTAACAAGCATTTTGAAAGGCTGAGGGCAGGTATGTTAGAAGTGATCCTCTTATTCCTAATTCATGCCTAAACTTAATTGTCCTTCAGCTTTCCTGCTCGTAAGTTTGGCACACTGTCTGCTGGATGATAAATGGTTTGGGAGGAACAAAAGTAGGTAATACTTGCATGTTATGCTTTTCATATCAGGACCTCAATTTATTTTCCTTTTTTTTCTTTTTAAGGGTTCTGTACATTGGCCTGGCCTGCAATACAGCTCGCTACATTTATATTTCTTACCTGGAAAATGCCTGGACTGTTCTCCCCATGGAAGTTCTTCAAGGTAAGTCAATAGCTGGAATTAAAATTATTTTTCCACTCACCTACGTGATGACAATGTAAAAGTCCAGTGGCTTTTAGCATCTGATTCTATAAAGGAAGGGTGGACCTACTGTTGTATATAATTTTGAGATGGTTGTTAAGGAAGAGATGACATCAGGGGAGCTGGGTCCTCAGTTACCCTCAGTGCTGTTCTGGGTTGAGGCGAACAAAGCTGGATTTGATCCACACCCCTGTGATTAAACAAAGGAAGAGGAACTCTAGGATAAATTCCTAAATACTATTGTTAGATATCTAAAGGTGGTTTTTTGGTAAGTTTACTTCACCTATTGAAAAAAGACTGTTGTCATTTTTATAACATCTGGTGATTCATAACTAAAGTTTTATAGTCACACTGTTTTCTTAGAAACTTTTTAAATCTTTGCTCAAGTATCTTGATATGACTTCTTCTCTTTTCTTCAGTGTACTGTTTCCCATCAAAATACAACTCTGGAAAACTTTCAAGGAGGCTCTTGCCATGTGGCTCAAGAACACTGAAAACATGAATTTCTTTCAAAAAAAAGAAAAAGCTTATTGCCATATGCGCACAAATAACCCTGACTGTATCCTGAAGAGCTGCCTGTTAGCAGCTTAGCTAAACCATTTAGTAATTGGCATTATGATTAAAGTAAAGGATTAGGACAAGATCACTGGAATTGAGGTATTTAGTGACAGCTTAGGCTACTAATAATTAATTATACTAAATAGTCTGTGATTATATACAATTTCAATAGCTTTTTATTTATTTATTTTTTTTAGACAGAGCCTCAAGCTGTCACCCTGGGTAGAGTGCCGTGGCATCACAGCTCACAGCAACCTCCAACTCCTGGGCTCAAGCGAGTCTCCTGCTTCCTCCTCCCAAGTAACTGGGACCACAGGCTCCTGGCACAATGCCTGGCTATTTTTTGGTTGCAGCCACCATTGTTGTTTGGTGGGTCAGGCTGGAGTCGAACCCACCACCTTAGGTGTATGTGGCTGGCGCCTTAGCCACTTGAGCCACAGGCGCCGAGCCTTCAGTAGGTTTTTATATTGCCATTATCATTTTCCCTTACCCTAAGGATGCTGATACAGTGCCATCAACGTAATTAATTTTTTTCTTTTCAATTGAAAGATTCACAATTTTATATCTAAACAGAATGTACAAAATGCACATGTATTCATCAAATTCCATTGTGGCAATGAAAAAAAATAACTTACCCTAATTGAAAGGAGATATAGGCTTGGTGCCCGTAGCACAGTGGTTATGGTACCAGCCACATACACTGAGGCTGACAGGTTCAAACCTGGCCCGGGCCAGCTAGACAACTATGACAACTGCAACAAAAAATAGCTGGGCCTTGTGGCGGGTGCCTGTAGTCCCAGCTCCTAGGGAGGCTGAGGCAAGAGCATCGCTTAAGCTCAAGAGTTTGAGGTTGCTGTGAGCTGTGGCACTCTACTGAGGGCGACATAGTGAGACTCTGTCTCAAAAAAAAATACATATATATATAAAAATTATATTCACATTATAATTATTAGATTCAAATATATACACCTTAAAGGGGCTTTTCTCAGGCCTGATGCAATGGTACATAAAAGGGGATTTTGTTTACAAATATGTATAATGGAAATATGGTCTTATAATAGGAGTTACTTTTTTTTAACAATCCTTTCCTGCCTTCCTGAATCCTAAGGGGAGTCCTTGAAAGGTCTTTCGAGGAGGCACACATCTCAGTGCTGTGTCAGTTAAGAATAACAAAACAGTAAACATGAACTGCAGGAAAGAATCATGCAGTAACAAGGTGTATGCAAAACACTTTTACCATTGCCCAGCCTCTGTTTCTGTTCTATCCTTGCCTAGTTTGATTGCTTTATTTATTGGCTTGCCACAGTATGCTGACTCTATAAATGGAGATCTGTAAACTTACAGAAAAGAAAGTGCCATATATTGTAATAATATGTAAATATACCTTTTTTCTCCTTTTAATTTAATATGAATTAGGTGGGAAAGGACAGTTTGCATAAGTACTTCGGGAACAGAGAGCATCCATGATATAGAGGAATAACAGAAGAATTTTATAAAAGAAGAAAACAAATGCTGCTGGGAACTTAAAAACTCTTTCTGCTTGTTAATTTATCAAAGAGGTATAAAATGGTAATTAAGAGCCAGTATGTTGAGTTCAGGGAATGTAATAAAAATAGGCAGGGTGTCCACAAAGTTTGGGCACAGCTATTTTAAATTGCACACGAACTTTGTGGACACCCTGTATATATATTAATTCACGGCCCAGCGTCTCACCATCTGTTCTGGAAGAGAGATGTGGAAAGCACATTCAGTACTGCACAGTGTATTAGGTGGAATCATAGGAAGACGTGCTAGGTAACACACAAAGAGCTCAGTGGAGAAAATAATTAACTTTGTGAAGCAAGGAGTGGGAGGACAAAGATTTTATTGAAAAATTCCCAAAGGAAATCACATGAGCTGGGTTTCGAAAGGCAAATAGGAATCCGCCATGTGGCTTAAAGAGAACAGCCGTGCAGAGTCATGTGCTAAAGCACAGAGTGGAAAGCAGAATGGCACCTTCACGGAACATCACGTGGGCTGTGGCTAGGGCTTTATGATTTATCATCTCAGGCTGCTGACCCCGGATATATTTATATAAAACTTGTATGCACCTCAGGGTGTTTATCCCAGGATTTTTCTAAACAAATTCAACTTCCCATTGCAGGCTACCATTTATACTTCTGGGTTTCACTTGATTCTGCCGTGGGCCATTAGAAACCTAGTTACTGGTCTGAAAGAAGTAAAAAAAAAAAAGGATCTGTAAACAGTCTCCTCGTCCAGTAGAGGCCTCTAAGACCAGTTTCCACAAACTCCTCCTTTGTTTCTAAAGCTGGAGGAGATGGTTTCATTCCCTGGCAGAAGTGAATGCTGAGTATTTTGACTGTACAACAAAAACATAATCCTCTGCCTTTGTTAGAACCACAAAAAATAGCAGATCATCCATGTGGAATAAATCTTGTGTCACGGGAATATACTTCTGACTGAAAAAGTTTGTTTTGCTAGTCTGGATTCTTCTGCCTTTACAAGCCTTATCCAAAAGACTTTAAAGGCCCTGTGCTCAAAGGAGACTGTCTTTGGGATTGAGGAAGGCAGGAAAGGATTATTTCAAAAAACCACACTGAATGATTTAATTATAAGATAAGCACACTGTCATGATATAGACCCCTTAATTCCTTGACTGGAAATGCTGCCCAGTGATTCTCAAAGACCTGGTCTTAGAAAAGATTGAGGGGCGGGATATTGTCTCTCATCATAGATGATCATGACACCGAAAGACCAGTGCTTCCGTTCTTTGGTTTCCAACCAGTGTCACACAAGAGGGCCTTGCTGATCCCCATAACACCAGCAGAATTAGTACATCTCATGGGCAGCTGAAGGGGAAGGGACAAAAGAGGTACTTTATTCCATATCTCCTCCTTCTTCTGAGTTGCATGTAACTAAGGATAGAGTATCCCTTGTTATCCTTCATTCCTTGGAGTTTCTTGATCATCCTCTCAGCATTCTGTCTCCTCTGGTAACAATTAGCGGATGGGTTAAAAGCAAATTTCCTCCTCCCTAGACCTGTAGGAAGGAGGCTGTACAGGCATTTAGTTGGAGGTCAAGGTAAGACCATTGTATATCCTCTGTTGGGAATTGTTGGGTCATTTCTTTCCCATGATCTTTCTCACATTCAGTAGCTAATTTTCTCTTGCAGCCTTAGCCTTGTAGCAATTCAGCTACCATACGCAGCAAACTTGTTGCACAGTAGGCAGGTGGCGGCACCATGTAAAGAAGCACAAACATGTACTTCCTTCCCTTAAGGAGTCTGCAGTTGATTTAGAAAAGAGACAGTGGGTCTAAATGTCTCAAAGCATTATTGGCTGGTGCTGCTGCTGCTGGTGGTGGGGGTTAGATTCTTTATTTCTCAAAATTTCATTTTAAACACTCTTAGGAATTTTCTCCTTTTTTTACAAAAGACATTTATGCATTCATGCTTGTGATCAAGAATATAAACATTTGATGAAAAGCAAACCCGACCTTGTGCTCCTTCTTATGTATTTGTTTTGAATCCTTGCAAAACTCAAGAGATGAATGTGATCACAATTATTCTTGCTATTAAAATCTATGTGAGGAGAGTAGAGCTTGCCTGGGGGCTGCTCTAACTGAAGAGGTCCTTTTGTGTTACTCGAGTGAATGGCTCCAGCACTGAAGGGTGAAAATGTGGTCTGGGTCAGCTCCCTCTCTGTAGGATGCTCTAACAGTGGGAGCTGGAAGATGTTGATGAAAGATGGCTTTTTAATATTACCAGTTAGAAAAGCTGGAGCTGACATATATAAAACTGTACTCTGTCTCTTCAGTTGAGTAAGACCCATGTTTTCCTTCCATCTTATGTTCTAGAAGAGCATGGAAAAATTGTAAGAGGATTACCATGCAGCCTTTATCTGAGAGTGGAAATTTCTATACATGATTTCACTCTGTTATCATTCTTATTGAAAATTTTATCTGGCATAACCTGTAAAGCACAAGTGGTTTGCCACATGGATACATAAAATAGGCAAATGCTTTATTTTTTGATAAATTGGCATATAAAAGTCATTGGTGTTACTGTTAAAATTAATTTTCAGTCAGAAAAGTCTTATAAAATATAATAGAACAACTTTATTCTTTGCTACCCTATGTTTTACAGTTACTAAATGTTCTTTAAAATTATTTTGTCCATTTAGAATTCATTTGAAATGTCTTCTGATCTGAGAATCTATTTCTGGCAGTTGCGTTCCATATTACTCTCCCTTTGCTGAACTGTTCTTAGGCTTATGTACTGTGTTACATAGTTTAGTACTTAATTGCTCCCTAATTACTTTATAAATACTAATTTTATTAACTAATTTAGTTTAAACTTTTGAGTGTAAAGACCATGCCTTATTCTTTTTGAATTCACCAAAGAGACATATGTATCAGAAGATGTGCTATAAGTACTTGATTTTTTTATTCATTTTACCCTCCCGTGTGTTATATCTGATAGTCGGTATTTTCTAATTTTTAAAACTTTTGAATAAAGTCAGGTGGGGTGGCTTCCGCCTGGTAGTCCTAGCACGTTGGGTGGTGAAGGAAGGAGAATTTGAGGTCAGGAGTTCAAGACCAGCCTGACCAAAAGTGAGACCCTCTCTCTGCTAAAAATGGAAAAAGCTGGGTACAGTGTTACATGTCTGTAGTCCTAGCTTATTGGGGAGGCTGAGGCAGGAGGTTCATTTGAGCCCAGGAGTTTGAGGTTGCAGTGAGCTATGATGATGCCACTGCACTCTAGCCCAGAGTGACAGATCAAGATTCTGTCTCAAAAACAGAACAAAAACCAAAACTCAAATAATATGGGTAGTTCTGTCTCAAAAACTTATAAAGAGAATTTGAAAATAAATTTAAAAGCCAAACTTTAATAACTCTTCCTATGACGACATTTTACTATCCCATAACACACTTTTCTTACAGTTATCTTTGGGGAAGTGAAATTTCTACTGGCTTGGATATAAAAGCGGTTCTTGTGTGTTGGCCTTACGTGATACAACACTGAGCATGCGGTATACAGCGTTGCCAAGTCTTGACCTTAAAAGTGCTCAGTTGGGCATGGTAAACCTAAAACCTGCTTGAAGATACGCCACAGGTGTGGTACCAGCATGCAAAATAAATGAAGGCCCTCCAAACACTGTTGGGTCAGTTACAACTTAGAATTTTTTAAACAAGCTGAAACTTATAGAAGAGATTGTTTAATTTCTTCTCTCCATTTTTACTCATACATGAGATTTGGAGGTTTTCTCCTAGTTATCTAGGGTTTCTTTTATTCTTAAATACTTTCTTCATCATATCCAAGCACACAGAGTAGTGTCTAGCTAGGTTCAGTTCAACACCCTTTTGTTCAGCTGCTGTTACATGGCAAGCCTTGTGTTGGGTGCCGTATATGTCTGTTCTCAAAGAGCTTACTCTGTGCCTCCATCAGGTAAATCCTGCCCCTTTTCACCCATAAGACTGACGTTTCACGATGGCTGAGGAAATATTATATATATCATCATATTCTCAAAGTTTAGCAGAATGTCTGCTCAATAGATGCTCAATAAATGCTATTAAATGAATGCATGCAGAGGATTCTTGTAGTGTTGTATGTTGGCAGATGTGGGAATGTTGGCCTTTAATAACAATTGTTGCATGTCTTATGTAAAGTCCTTTCCTTACGACACACAGATGGTTCATGCTGTTGCTGCTAAGTCCATTGCTCTGTGTAGAGTCCTCTATGTTTGGAAGGTCCCTTGCTGTTGGTGGCCCCAACTCTGGCAGACTGTCTTGATATTCATCTGCTCTCTTTCCTTTTCTTCATGGGCATATAGCTAGACAATCTCCCTTCCAGTTAGTTAAGACCGTGTGATAGATTCTGGCCAGTGGAATATGAGCAGTAATGATGTGTGTCATCTTCTAAACCTGACCCACACAATTTCCCATGTGCTATCCTCTCCTCCCTCCTCTATCAGGTGGATTTTGACACCAGTGATTGAAGATAGCAGAGCCTTTTTAGCTTGAGTCCCTGAGCAGAGCTGCTATTCCTCTGTGTCTTCTGCTCATTGGACGTCATGTGAGCAAGAAAATAAAATGTCTAATGTGTGAAACTACTAAGATTCCAAGGTTTATCTGTTGTAAAAGCTAGCATTACCTTAACCAATACAGATTTTTATTGCCTTCCCAGTGGAGACCTTTTCTCAGGTGCTTACTGATTTTCACTAGGATGATTTTTCAGAAGTGTATTTTTAATCACAGTATTTGAGAATTCCGCTGAACTAATGAAAATTCATGCTTTGGTCTGCATATCGGAAAGATTTGCCAGAGCCGATTTTTGTGTATCAGTGCCAAAGAGATATTTATGTTTTGTTTAGTGAGCATAAGTCAATGGCAGAAACAAGAAAAACCAAATAGTGCTAGTTCCCCAATACTGAGTCAGTTCTCCCTCCTCCCAGCCGTTATGATGTGATTTCCCCAAGCCAAACATTTGACAAAGAGCAGCTGTTGAATGAGAAGAAAGGATTTTTTTTTGGCCCATACATGTTATTTATTACAATAGAGCATTCTTGTGTGCCAGAAATGAACGATTTTGAAATGCATATTGTAGAATCAGACACCAGTATTGAACATTGTAAGGTAAAGAGTTATTTGGGGCATATGTGTTGGTAATATATATATGATATGTCAGCTCTTTAGGGAAAGAGTGGGGACGAGGGTAGTAAAAATATCCATTTTTAAATTGGTAGACTGTTGGGCAAGTTTGGTATTATCAATAAAACTACTCAAAGTGGATGGTTACATTTACTGTGGAATACTCTAATAATTGTTTGTAAGGACATACAGCAGTATTTAAGCACTTAAGTTATGACCTTAGACAACTTGAATTCAAATTGTGTTCCACTGCTCAGCTGTCTTTGTGACCTTGGAGAAAACACCCTCATCGGCTCAGCGCCTGTGGCTCAACTGGCTAAGGCGCCAGCCACACACACCTAAGGTGGCAGGTTCGAATCCAGCCCGGACCTGTCAAACAACAATGACAGCTGCAACCAAAAAATAGCCGGGCATTGTGGCGGGCGCCTGTGGTCCCAGCTACTTGGGAGGCTAAGGCAGGAGACTTGCTTGAGCCCAGGAGTTGGAGGTTGCTGTGAGCTGTGAAGCCACGGCACTCTATCCAGGGGGACAGCTTGAGGCTCTGTCTCCAAAAACCAAACAAACAAAAAAAGAAAGCACCCTCATCCCCTTGTACCTTCACATTTTTTAAATAATTAAAAAAAATTACCATGCCTATTAATGGGGAAGAATAGATGAAATAATCTATGTAAAACACTTAGCAATTCCTCCTAGTGTAAGCTGCTACAATAATATTATTAATGAAAAAAATGTAATGTTAATCATAATTATTTTTAGTGATTCCGGATTATTCAAATGTACAATATCCCCAAGTAGTTGAGGTCTTGGCAGTAGGCCAAGAACTAATCCTGAAGGATTCCAGTACGGTAAGGTAGGACTAAGAAGCCATGTTTACGTGACCTTTATGGTCTCTGAAAATCATTCATTGCCAGTTCATATATTTATTAAGCACCTATTATGTGAGCTGGTGTTGAATTGCCACTGAAGATACATCAGTAGTTACACCTTCAAGTAGCCAAGGAAATGTAAACACATACTGCAAGGAGAGTCCATGTGTGCCCATGTTATTATCATCAGTCAGGAGTAAAATCTTTTATTTTTATTGTGTGATTTAGTTATCTCATAACTTAGTTATCTCATAGGTTCAGAAATTGATAACTGTAGCATAAATACACTTACCTATGCCACTAAATAAATTCGTTTATTTTATCACCTTGCGAATAATCACCTACTACTCTTTCACAGTTCTTTAATAAAAAGTAAAGATGAGGCTGGATGTGGTAGCTCATGCCTATAGTTCTAGCACTCTGAAGCAGAAGGATCTTTTGAGACCAGGAGTTCAAGATCAGCCTGGGCAATAGCAAGGCCCCATCTCTCCAAAAATTAAAAAATTAGCTGGGCATGGTAGCCTATACCTATAGTCCCAGCTACTGGGGAAGGTGAGGCAGGAGGATGGCTTGAGTCCAGGAGTTTAAGGTTGCAGTGAACTATGACTACACCACTGCACTCCAACCCAAGTGACAGAGCATGATCCTGTCTCAAAAAAAAAAAAAAAAAAAGTAAAGTAGAAGCATTTTGTTTTCCTAGTTCATGATATATTTTGTCCCCTGAATTTTACAGGAAAGCTGTTTTAGGTAGCACAATTCCTAAGACTTCTATAATCTTGTCTTCTAAATATGGAAAAGGGTAGAGGTTTTTATGTGTCTAGGTTGCTTTTTCATTATGTTTAAACTGTAGTAAAAACATTGGCAAATAAGTTTATTATAAAGTTGCATATTCAAGATTAAGAACAAGAATCCCAAGGCCACAACTATCTTCTATACACAGGTTATGTTACTAACCCAATTTCTTTTTAAAGACTGCTTAGTTTTATTGGTTTCTTTTCTAAGAATTGGGATGAATTTAATTGGTTCTTCCATTTAAATTATATTTTGATAAAAGTTATTTTAGGGAAATCAATTTTAATCCTTTCTTGGGAATTATTTTATCATAAAGGCAGAGTGGCTTCCATACTTTTTAGTACCAGAATTTTTCTTTTTAAGCTGTGTGCTTTACTATTTTTTCCTGCAGTTAATGCACTGAGTTGCTTTAAAGAATATAGTTCCCAATTATCTAACCAGTCTCAAAAAGCAATAAGGAAGCTAGAAATCTAACTGTAGAGAATATTTCACAACTGACACCTAATACCAGCCAACAAATTCTAAGAATAGTTTAAAAGTATCATGACTTAAGTCATCCTGCTTGAAAATGCTTTAATTATCTTAGAACACTCAAGAGTTTTAGAACATGCTGAGAATTTTGACAGAACAAAAAGGGGACAAATTCTATTGGAAAATTTTGTGTGTGTCCAAGACTTCACACTTAAGAGAATAATTGCTAGAATTATATTTAATCTTGAATCATAACAAAAAATATATTTTAATGTTTTGATCACATATATACATAGGCCCATCTTTGGCCCTGGGCAAGGAGTGAATGGAAGTTATTCTTTAATGAATACAGAGTTGTGTTTGGGGATCATAAAAAAGTTTTAGAGATGGATGCTTGTGATGGTTGCACAACATTGCGAGTGTACTCAATGCCAATGAACTGTACATTTAAAAATGGCTCAGTGGTAAATTGTTATGTATGTTTTACCACAGAAAATACATTAATAAATAATTCACATTTCAAAAAAGAGTAACCCAAAGTGCTGGCCAGTCAAGCCCTCCTGCTTTCCCTCCTCCCAGGAGTGACACACGCAGCCATCTGGGCCGCATGCATCTCTTACCTCAGTGCTGCTGTTCCCCCCGAGCTGAGGACGTCTGCACAGGGCATCCTGCAGGGCCTTCACCTGGGTTTGGGGAGAGGCTGCGGAGCCATGATCGGAGGCGTGTTAGTCAATTATTTTGGTAAGAATGGCTTTCTCTTTTTTCCTTTGATGAAAACATGATTGATTTTTCAGCAACATCTCAATAGCCAGCAAATTATTTCTGAAGATTGCTAGAAGCTAAACTCCATTATTCATATTCTCTTTCTCAATTTTATGGTGGTCGTGATTATAAGGCGAGGTGCTTCAGTGGTTAAGCTGCCAAGAGCCAGTTAGTGCACTTTCCTCTGACAAACAGCCTAATGAGATGCTACACAGATACTTCAAAGCTCCAGACAAATGAAAAAGCACATGTGCTTTTAGTGTAAAGTAAGGTCCTCTAAACTTGCTGATAATAATGCCAAAAGAAAGAAAATTCGTCATTGTTATTCTATCAGGAGATTCTGAACCTGAGGAATCTATATACTGGCTTTGGAAATGTCACTGCATTTATAATGACGTTTGTCTGCCTTGTCAGATTTCCCTTACTGGAAGTTTGGGGCCTGGAGTGGAAATGAGATTATTCTGCTCCAAGGATATTAACTGAGCAGTCACCTATTTATGGTGGGCCCAGGGATGAGTGAATTTATAGAACTATTTGAGGTGTACCATTTCAACTACAAATTAACGGAGCTGTTTGTTAATAGTTGAGTAAATGGTCTTTATGAAGGAGAGCACTGTTGTAGGTGAAAGGCATTCAGAGACAGTCTTTTATAAATACAGTTTTTGTAACTGATCAATAACAGAGCCAATACGAGCACCTGGGTCTCCTGATATCTACCCAGTCCTGTATTTTTTCCCATTATATGGAGATAATGGCCAGCCACTTTTCTCTGGTTCAGCCCAACTGTGCATTCTCTGCCTTAAACTTTAGAATGGTGATAATCTGGGCGAGGGCTATCTGCATTTCCTGGAATTGCCCAATGGAGAGCTCTGCCTGTTTCCACAGGGGCTGCTGCAACCTTCCGAGGAATTGGCATGGCCTGCCTGGTGATCCTGCTGCTCTTTGCCCTGATCCAGTGGCTGGCAGTGCCAGATGAGGAAGAAGGTGATCATCTTGTTCTTTCTTGATGGGGAAGTTTACACATGCCCATTAGAAACCCAGAAGTGGTTACAAAGTGTACAACGGGCTCACTTGTCTAGGTTTTCTGAGTGGCATCTGATGAATTCATGTGTACCTTTGTTAGAAAGAAGCCATCTATTATATTGAAAAGAATCACATAGCTCGGGGTTTTCTTGTTTTTTATTTCTTTATGGTACAAGGTACTAGGGAAGTATTTGGTTTTAAATTTCCCTGGTATTCTAAAGGTATTTCAAATTTTAGTCAGAATACAAGGCTATATAGTAATTTTACCATTAGAGATAGGGAGTGGTATTCATCTGTATGCTTTTGCTTTAATTCTGAAAAGAAAAAAGTCTGAGCCTGAAAGTTGACATTTTCCCTGAACCAGGCCATGGCCTTTATTAAAATTGTTATACAAAAAGGAACGTGTATCAAACACAACATGTAGATGAGAACAAGTTGACTCAACCTTTTAATGAAAAAGGCCAAGCAGTACAATGAAAATATTCTTTGTTAGCTCTTGGGTCCCAGAACAGGGCTTGTCTTCTTTGGGTGCCCATGTCCTTTGAGGAGCTTTGGCCTCAGTTATCTGAAGTGTTTCTGTTAAGAGAAAAACCAGCTTGTTACAGAAACCTCAGAGACAGATTTTAATCTCAATGAGTTACTCAGAAAAAAAGATCAGTATTTGTTTTTCTCATTTTTGTGCTTTTATAATCCTAACTGGATCTTCTCCCTTAGCCATCCTCAACCCCAAACTTCTGTAAAAGGCCAATAAAAATAGCTCTCATGTGGCTTTTTTGTATTGATGTTTATCTCTATAATGGTAGTCCTGTAACGAGGCTTAAGGCAACACTCACTGTAACGTATGCCCCACAGATGTTATATCTCAGTTAAATGAAAAATAGATTTCCTAAGTAAATATAAGCTAATTTCTATTACGTTCTATAAGGAGACCCTGAAAGATAAACATCTTGTTCATTTATTTGGTACTTGCACCAAGAAGTCCTTGATAAACAATGATTTATTAATACTGCCAAACACACTAGCATGGATTTATGGGAGTTTTGGTTTATTATTTTTCTACCTTTGTTTAAATATATAGAAAACTCTGAAAATGACTTAAATATTATTTTCTCTCCAGACAAGACAATGTTGGCAGAAAGGATTCCTGTTCCCTCTAGTCCGGTTCCCATAGCAACCATCGACTTGGTGCAGCAGCAGACAGAAGATGTCATGCCCCGCATCGAGCCCAGACTTCCACCCAAGAAAACCAAGCACCAGGAAGAACAGGAAGATGTGAACAAACCAGCCTGGGGGGTCAGCTCTTCTCCTTGGGTCAACTTTGTCTACGCTCTCTACCAAATCAAAGAGATGATGCAACTAACAAGAGAAAACCGTGCTTCCGAGATCCAGCCTTTGCAGGTAGAGTTCCTCTGCTGGGTCAGCAACACTGCCTGTCACTGAAGACACCTTCACTGGGATCATCATTTGTTTTAATTACTCATTTGTCAATCAACAAGATTTATTGAGAGTCTTATGGGGGAGAGAGACATGTAAACAAATAGTCTCAGTACTCTGTGGAAAATATAGACATATACAAGGTCCCACAGAGGGAAAATTCTGCCTTACAGAGTCGAAAGAGATAAATAAATCCCTTCTGATCTTATATATTTCTTTAAAATTTCAATGTTGAGGCTCGGCGCCTATAGCTCAACCGGCTAAGGCGCCAGCCACGTACACCTAAGGTGGCAGGTTCGAATCCCCGGGCCCGCCAGACAACAATGACGGCTGCAAGCAAAAAATAGCCGGGCGTTGTGGCGGGCACCTGTGGTCCCAGCTACTTGGGAGGCGGAGGCAGGAGACTCGCTTGAGCCCAGGAGTTGGAGATTGCTGTGAGCTGTAATGCCACCGCACTCTACCCAGGGGGACAGCTTGAGGCTCTGTCTCAAAAAAAAAAAAAAAAAAAAAAAAATTTCAATGTTGATAGGATACCAGTTGCAATGAGAATATGTGGTTCTTGCCTTTAGGGACTATGTTCATTAATCTCTGTAATTCCAAAATTCCGGTGGAGGAGTTATATATAATAGAACCACAATAAATGTTTGTTTAATTAATTAATAACCTAAACTATTGGGTGGGTCTTATAGGACACCTAACTCAGTGGAAATATGGTTATATAGGTGGCCTTACCCAAAAAATAAAAAGTGTGATTTTCCTTGTCCCTAGAGGAGTGGTCTCTCCTAAGTAAAGTCAAATCATACTGATAAAACAGTATAGATGATTATATAATTAATGCTTTATCCTGACTTTGGAAAATGAGTCTGACTTCTATGAATACTTCTGTCAAACTAATAAATCCAGCTCCTCGCTTTTTTATTAATCACTCCCTTCTACTTGATAAATCCTGTCAGCTCCATATCTAGAATAGCTTGAGAGTACACGTGAAAAAAAATTAAGAGGGAAGACTTAAAAATAAAGAGTAACCTCAGTGTAGTGGCTTATACCTTAATCCCAAAACTTTGGAAGGCCAAGACAGGAGGATTACCTGAACCCAAAAGTTTGAGACCAGCCTGGGCAACATAGTGAAACCCTGTCTCTACAACAAATAAAAACAAAAAATTAGCCAGGTATAGCGGCATACACCTATAGTCCTAGCTAGTGGGGAGGCTTGAGGAGGGAGAATTGCTTGAGCTCCGAAGTTCAAGGTTGCAGTGAGCTATGGTCACTCTACTGCACTCCAGTCTGGGCCACAGAATGAGACCCCCATTTCTTTAAAAATAAAATTATTCGAGTGATTCTCCTTCTAGAAAATTTTAACTACTTTAATCAAATTTATCTTGAAGTTGTAAGCTAACATAAAGTCTTTGTATAATTTTAACTAAATCTGGTTCTTCACTGATAACCACACACATGCAGGTCCATTGCATGATCCTGTTTCTTAATTTATCAGGATAATAAATTCACACAAACCCTGTACTCAGTCAAGAACTAGACATTAGGGTGGGAGGAATACTTAGAGGATTTTAATACCTTGGAGCAGGAGAGAGGATGATTGCTGCTTGAGTAGCAATGTTTTCAAAACTTTGTGCTCATCCTCATTTTCACAGAAGCCATTTAAACTTAAGCAGCATTAAACATTTTTTCAGGTATATTAAGATTAATAAAAATGATCAGGTAGTTATTCCAAAGATGACATTATTCTAAGTTTTTTCTTTCATATTTTAGAATCAGTCACTGAAATAATACTTTCTTTTTGGCACTCAGCTATTGGAAGTGATAGGTACAAAACTTGAAGGAAATGTCATTTAAAAACAAAACATGGGGTGGTGCCTGTGGTTCAAAGGAGTAGGGTACTGGCCCCATATACCAGAGGTGGTGGGTTCAAACCTGGCCCTGGCCAAAAAAACCCATGATTCCTGACTTATAAAATCAATATGGCAGTCTATAGAAATTGCTGCTGGGGCTTGGCACCCATAGCTCAGTGAGTAGGGAGCCAGCCACATTACACCCAGGCTGGCGGGTTTGAGCCTGGCCTGGGCCTGTTAAACAGCAATGACAACTGCAACCAAAAAATAGCCTGGCGTTGTGGCAGATGCCTTTAGTCCCAGCTGCTTGGGAGGCTGAGGCAAGAGAATTGCTTAAGCCCAAGGTTGCTGTAAGCTGTGGTATTTGAAAAAAACCAAAAAGAAAAAGAAATTGCTAGTGGAAGTGTGCTAGCATGAGTATGTATACTCATAGTTATTTACAACTAGTGACATAAGTTCACGTTTATGTTCCTTTTTTTATATGGATTAAATTTCAGCAGATTTTGAAATCCCAAATAGACTCTTAATTATAGGAAATTCTTTGCCTGGCTCTGCCTCCAAGGCCAAGAATCCCTTATTTCCTTGCTATCAGACAAAGTGTCTTCTGACTCTTGAATCCTGCTGCGTGAGCAAGGATCCCAAGTTTGTTGTTCTCTGGTGCTTGCCATGTGGCTGGGGTGCTCAGTAAATGTTTGCTGATGTAAATTGTTTGCCGAGTAGTAACAGGCATTTTGGCAGTGATGTTTTTTTTTATCTACAAGACAAGTCTGCTTATAGTGTTTGTGTTTTTCATGCGGCTCTGGCAGTTGCACATAGGAAAGGAGATGAAAGGTAAGACATTCTATCCTTATTCCTCTGTCATTTGGTCCCTGAATGGGCACTTGAGGATAATCTCCCCATGTTTTCTGTATCTTCCTTGAAAACATATGCAAAAATTTGGATTGAATTGCTATCACTGACTGGGGGGCATCTCCTTTTTCTTCCCTCCAGGAGACCAGTGAGAATCGGGAAGATTCTCCAGCTGGTAGGGTCCAGCCTGTCCCATGTGAGTCTCAATCTGACACATCTACAAACCAGCCATCCCCTGACGCTGCAGCATCTCAGACACAGACTGGCCCCGCTCATCCCATGGACCTGCGTGCCGAGGAAAATGAGGAACGGCAGGCTCAGCCGGCTGAGGGAGGACACTGAGGGCATCCTGCTCATCTCACACCCTGCATGGAACTGGGCTCCTCTGTCAGGACACAGGGCCAGGCCCCCAGCAAGGATACACTTCCCATGGGAGGAGCACAGCACCGCATACGCTTCCCAATACCTAAGCTCATTAACACAGAAACACACACATAGGAGCTACAGTACATATTGGCAGGAAAAGGTAAACGTCCATAATCCCATTGGAACTACAGCAGGGAAATGGAGTTCAGTGAGGACTTTTGGTTGGGTAGGTTAAGGACAACAGGACTTCTCTGCCAGTGCAGTGAGAGTTGAAACCAGCAGTTACACTAAGTAAGTAGAGGGTCTGAAGGTGTTTCAAGGTGAATGTTGTTCTAATTTCCCTCTTCTGATTATTTATTCTGATTATTTGGTTCTTAATGCAAACTAGGAAGAAATAATACATCTATAATTTTGTTTTTCTTGAGAACCATTTAAAAAATTACAAGACATATTTAAGAAGCAACAACATAAAAATTAGTAGCATATGCTTTTTATTTAAAAGTAAAATGTTTCATCAGAAACTTTGCATATCTCTAGCAAATATATTTTTATATGTGTATGGTATATACTGAAGAGAGTCAATTCTTTGAGCAACAAAAGCTGTTGTTGACTACTGCAAGCTAAACTGAGCTTTAAAATGCCTTTTGTTTTAAATGGGCTTTGAGAAATACCAGAAATGAGGGAATATATCAAATAAACTGACCAACTCAGTATCCTATGGCTTGATAGAAAAGAGTTTACTAAATGTATCGATACTGTAAATAGCCTCGACTGCTGTTTACTATTTTATAGTGATCTGGGCTCTCATCAGCTGATGGAATAAAACAAAAACATCACTGAATTCCTAAGAGTTCCTTTAATTAAGCAGTACTATTTACAAATAACAGTATAAGATTTAAGTGCCTGGGGGAGGGGTATAATTTTTAACACTTACACATGGGTTAGTTTTGTTTTCATTTTGGTAAGGAAAAGGTGGTAAATAGGAAACCAGGAATGGAAAGGAGGGCAATAAGGAGAAACTACTTTCCATCAACTAAAGAAAGAAATCTCAGTATATTCTTTCCCATGAAGACATAGTCAGACACAGTCGGACACTGGACAGTTCAGATGTGGGTATGCACCTGTAAATATCACCACTGTAGTCAGAACAATGGCCGGGTGCACCCCACATAAAGCTTGCTGCTGAACACAAAAGTGGAGGTTCCTAAGAAGCTGGGGGTCTGGGGGGTGGCTGTGGAAAAGGGAACATGGCTTTAGCTGAATGAAGGTGAGTTCCATGTGTGTATTGTGAATAATAGCGGAAAGAGTAGAGTTAGAAAGAGCGACTCACCTTCCCCTCGCCCTGATCAGGCAGGATCAGTTGTAAACTGAGGGCTTCTCCATGAGCCCACGTTCCACCCGATACTGCATCTGGGAGAAGAAATTCTGTGCTTGGGTATCTAGCTTCACCACAAACATAGCTTAAAAATAAATAACTGAAAGAAATGGAATTAAGCAAATAGTTATTTTTTGCACTTGAACTGAAAAGTACTGTACTGTAAGTTATCATGACTCATTTCAAGTGACCTTTAAAATCAGATGTATTTATTATGCTTGTGTAATTATAGAAATAAAGAAATGGGTGACAGGCTGAACCTCACCTATGAATGTACAGTATGTGGATTTGTGAAAATGACTGTAGGAAGTCAAAAACTTATACTGTGTCTTGTGTTTACAGTTCTGATTTATTCCTTTGAAAAGCCTGCTGTTTTGGAAGTGCACAGTTGACATGTTGAAATAAAAATAAATACCATTTTTAAATATTTCTTAAATGGTAAAGATGTGACCAAACAAATAAAAGCCCTTTACTCTGTAATGAATGAGACAAATTCAACACCTTTGTTATGGAACATTTGCTGTGACAGCCAATTCAATAATGCAGTAATTTCCAGCCTTTTAAGCTGAAACCTTCATGAGTTTGTGGACTTTGTGACTCCTCCTTCATGTCCTCAAAGTGCCATGTTACTTTAAAAAATATTAAAGTGAATTCAAATTAAATATTGATTTGAGAATTTTATAACCCCTCTTGAGATCTCTGGAAATACCCAAGGGTGTCACAAAGCCCAAGCTGGCAATCACTGCCTTAAGGACTTATTTCCCACTCTTTCCCCTGTGATTATAGATGTAGGAACTTATCCCAGAGTTCTGAGTTTATGTGGATCCAAAGAAGTTAGTTGCTAATTTTTAAACTACTGTATTCCTAAAGTCCTTAAGAAGAGTCATAGATTAGAATATACATTGTCCAACAGGCAGTAAACTTATGAAAAGCCTAAGGAATTCATAGAACAATGCTACTTTACTGCTTGTTAATCCTGCCTCAGCCCCATGAAGTAGACAGGTGGCTAAAATCTTTCCTCTGATTACAGTTCCTTCCAGTACTGCGGGGCTGAGGGGCTGCTGGGCACCATGTAAGGATAGAATGCTGACTGGAATGTTAACAGTGAATCTGGGGAAAGGAGAAACATATCCATGGCTATTGGGTGCTTGGTAGTGCTGACAAGACTATTGTTTTGTCCTTACAAAAACCATAGGTGGTACATATTACTATCCCAATTTTAACGATGAGGATTCTGAAACAGTTCAAGTTGTAACACCCAAGCCTCAGTCTGCTGGGCACCTCCCCCCACCCCAGGAGGCCGGGAGGCTGTTCCCTGCTTCTGCTGTGGGAGAGCAAGCAGTAAAGCAGCCCTGGCTTAAACTGTTACCGTACACACCTGACGTGTGTCTGTAACCGTATTCCCATTTAGGATTTCTAGATATTTCCAGATTCCTAGAAATCCAGCACCTTTAAACTTTGTTAACTGTGAGAATAGCAGACCCATTACACTCTGGAGGTGACTGGGTGGTTCAGCAACTGCAGAGCTATGGAAGTCAGGAAGGGTGAGCAGACGCACATCCACGGCTCAGTCCCCCAAGGCAATGGCACTGTGTGACAGCACTATCCAGGAGAACTTGCTGGGAAGATGGAACATTCTCTATCTGCACTGTCCAAGTGCTGTTGTACTGTATATAGCCTGGCACTGTAGATTGGGAGAAAGTAATATGATGATAGATTTAAGTGTTATCAAAATACAAGAGCGAGGCCTTGGTGAGGGAAATGAGCCAGTGCTCCCTGAGCCACATTGCTATGAAGCCCTAGAAATGTGGCTAATGCGTCTAAGGAATTAGATTGCTGATTTTAAACAGCCACATGTGGCTCATGACCACCACAGGTACAGAGGAAGGGATCACCTCTGGGAGATCTCAGGGCCTCAGTTCCTCATCTTCAGTATGACAAGGTGGAGCTTGAAACTGTTATTCTGTGAATATGGTAGCATGCGTGTGACAGAGCTGACTGTAGGGGAAGAAAAGTGATTTTCCATTCAGAAATTCTTCAGTCCTTTGGTGTATGGGCACAAGACGAAGGCTATTTCTGAAGCCCAAAATCATGCCTGTATTTCCTTTTTATTTTTAAAATTTTCTTACTGGCAGGATAAACCAGGTATCATGTCTGTGATTTTTTTTTTTTTAATTTAGCAAAGCTTTAAGAATATCCAGCTCAAGAATTCCACACTATCCAGGCAGTTAGGAGTGCCTAGATGGATACAGAATACAGGGGTAAGAGAACGGGGGAGTGGTTTCTCAGGTCTGAAGGTAATTTCCATCACGCCAGGACAAACAGTGGCTATGACAAAGGAGTAATTGGAAACATACTGATATCTAGCATAGGGAAAAGTGGCCCAGCTCTGGAAGGCACCTCTTACCCAGCTCCCATCTGCTTTGGGCAGCTAATGTCGGACCTCTTGCCCCACTGTGGCTCTATGTTAGGTCCCAGCTTTTATGGGGCGACCCAGGAACCTTACAGCACTGGTAGGAGTGTGGGCTCAGGGGTCAGCAAGTTTGGATTTGAGTCCCGGCTCTGCTAGTCAGAATTTACATGTACAGATGACCTTTCGGGGCCTCAGAACTCTCCTCCGTAAAATTGAGGTGATTATGGTATCTGCTTTACAGGTTGGTTTGATGTTCAAGTGAGATACCTGACAGATAGTGCACCCTCCATAAATACTGCCACCGTGTGGCAAAAAGCCCAGGGCAGGAGGAGTGCTAGCTCCTTTCCCTCACCAGGGTCTAGCCCTTAGTATTTGGTTAACACTTAAACCTATAATCCACAGTGCCATGCTGTGACATCCGGTAGAACTTCCATAGTCGACCACCTCCTTAAGTTGATCAAATTTTCATAGACCAGACATGTGCCAATACAACAGGCCTAGTTCCTTATGCTGACTACTTCCATATGTTGACCAATTTGTTATAGTCCCTGAGCTGGTCAACTTACAGACATTCTACCCTATGTACCTACATCTAGTAAGCTGTATAATAAAGCATTCAGTCCAACATGCATTGTAAACATTACATGGTTAGAGATGAGTTAGTTAAGAGATAAAATTAAGTAAAAAATGACCAACAAGTATCATAATGGAATGTCCAATTCCATAATGCGATGTCTATAGAGAGAGGTTATAAAAGGGTTTATGGGCGGCACTCATAGCTCAGTAGGTAGGGCTCCAGCCACATACACCCAGGCTGGTGGATTCGAACCTGGCCTGGGCCAGCTAAACAAAAACAACTGCAACAAAAAAATAACCAGGTGCCTGTAGTCCCAGCTACTTGGGAGGCTGAGGCAAGAGAATTGCTTAAGCCCAAGAGTTCGAGGTTGCTGTAAGTTGTGACACCACAGCACTCTACTGAGGGTGACCTACTGAGTAGTGAGACTCTTGTCTCAAAAAAAAAAAAAGGGTTTATGTTCCATAACTTTGTTTTTCATTTTCTTCTTAGAAGCATCAACAAAATGAAGAACTCTATAATTATTTAACAAATCATATACCATACTCTCCCAAATAGTTAGCTGAGGATGCTATTCTTTTAAACTGTAAACTTATATTGGAAAAAGGTCAGGAATTTTTTTTTGTTGCCTGAAAAGATCAATGGAGTCCCAGAAAAATAACCTCTAGACCAGTGCCATTTGAAGTGTAGTACTAACCCTAACCCTAATCCTGGTGGGCTGGTGCTGTCTATGGACTGTTGCTGATGTGTAACAAAACAGAAATTAAGCACTTCAAAACATGTATGGCAATTTGACATTGCCATGATCACTGGGATTATATTTTATATGTCTTTTTAAAATTATTTCATTCTTCTAATTATTTTTAATGTGTCCTATAAAAGTATTACTTGTGATGTACTGGGGGGAACTTGTCCATCACCCAGACAGCCTGAGAAGCAATGACATGGACCACAGTCTACAGTGTCCACAGATACACTGTGTGCAGCGTACACACATGCACATATGACCTGTGTGTGCGCAGCTAATCAGCAGATGCAGTCACTCATGAATGCCTTATTCATGAGGCTATGTCCTTAACTAACTTTCTAAAAGGATGACAATAACAAAAGTAGAAAGAACATGGGCCCTGGGTGCAGACACACTGGAGTTCTCAAGTTCTGACTGTACCACTTTATCTATCTATGTCCTTCAACAAACTTCTCTTACCTTGTCTGAGTCTTTCTTCAGCTGAAAATGGAAATAATAATGAAAGACATCACACATTAGTTGTGAGGTTCGAATGAAAAGCATAGAAAATGCTTAGTAATGATGGATCTCTAATAAATGTTGATAATCTATCCCTTTCTCCTTTCGATCACTGCCTTTTTGGAAAATAGATCAAATCTAAAAAATAAACAAATGCCTCAGATTATTTGTAGAAGAAACAGAAGAGCAGCTCACTGAATGTGTCTTCCAAGATTTATCCTAGTAAATGCACACTACTCATCCCAAATCTCTGGTGACCTACTGAGGTATCACATTCAGGCATCAGAACAAAAATATGCAAGGTTATCTTAAAATGACTTGACTCCTAGACCAGAGAAAGACTGAAGATTTTTGAGCAAAAACCATGCCCACCAGAGGAGGTGAGATAATGATCAATAACAATAGATTGGAAAAATGGCAGTCACAGAGAGGAAAAAGTTGGCAGGGCCTGCATAAAGGAAGCAGGTGAGGGGTCATCCCATTAGCAAGGTTAGCACTAGGGAGTGTTTGCATTTAATATTGGCCTCACAACATTAAAAATACATAAATTCTATAACAATTTCCCTTTGTTCAGTTTCTGTTCACCAAGCAAACTTTTTATTATAATTTGACCCCTCATATATCTGTCTTCTGAGAGAGAATCTGCAGGTCGTATCAGTTCAAATGTTTTTATCCTTAGGCCAATTATATTTTTGGCTGTGAATCACTATGTTAACTGATTATATGAAACAACTAATGGAAGCCAGGTCATCTTATGGTACAACAACAAAAATCAGTGTTCTGAGTCACTAAGCCAAGAGTTACACCCAAATGGTTCACTCTTCAATGTCATGCCACCTAGTAAGGTCTCTCAGAGGGCAGCTTGCTCCTGGGGTCAACTAAAAATACCTGTCTTACTGAAGGCTTCCTCAAAATTCTGTATCCATGGGCGGCACCTGTGGCTCAGTGAGTAGGGTGCTGGCCCCATATACCTAGGGTGGCAGGTTCAAGCCTGGCTCCGGCCAAACTGCAACAAAAAAATAGCCAGGCGTTGTGGTGGGTGCCTGTAGTCCCAGCTACTTGGGAGGATGAGGCAAGAGAATCGCCTAAGCCAAAGAGCTGGAGGTTGGTGTGAGCTGTGATGCCTCAGCACACTACTGAGGGCAACAAAGTGAGACTGTCTCTTAAAAAAAAAAATTCTATATCCATTATGTTATCTGTACATAGGATCCTGCTTTAGTTGTACAAAAAAAAAAAAAAAAAGCTAATTTATGAAATTGTACAGCTCTTAACTCTAGGGAATAATCTCATGTAGAATAATACAAGATTCTGTTTCTTGACATCATTTCAGGGTCTTAATTCATCCACCTGTTTAGCTATATTGATGTAATCCATCATCTATTTCAACTCTCTTAAAAAAAACTCTGAAATTTCCAAATTTAAAAAAAGCCATAAATTCAAATATTGTCCTAAATGTCAGATACTCCCCTATAATTCAGCCCTAAGTATTATTGGAAAACTATATAACTAATTCACAAAGCATTTTTTGTGATATGCAAAATGCATTTTAAGACCTTTTAAAAATAACACTTGAATGATACAATTGTTTAAGCATGGTGACCTACGCTACATCTCACCCACACGTTTGGTGTCAAATAGTCCAACTTGCTAACAACAGTAAGCTTTTGTAGGCACCTAGTGTAAGCAGTGACACAACAAAGAGCTCTGTTATGCTCTATAACTTCACACCTATGGCAATATGAAGCACAAAGCCAATTTTTAACCACCTATGAAGGGCAGAGTCAGTTTTACTGAGTGGTCATTTAAACTGTGTGAAGGCCTTTAAAAACACAGAGCAAGGGAGGAGGAAGAGAGGGGAGAGGGAAAATGGGAGGAATGTAGGAGGGAAAGAACTGGTTACAAGAGTTATCTGTAGATTGCTTGATGGAGATTACCCTGAATGAAATGAAAACAACATGAATACACCAAAAATATCACAAGTAATGCTTTTAATTCTGTAGCTTATTACAGTACTCACATAACAGAAAATGACAAATTTTATTTAAAAATAAACATGAAAAATAATATCCTGGAAGTCTGTTGTTCTTTTTCTCTCTTTAGCTGATTTTACTGTGATGGTTACCCCTGGCTAGTTGGCCCACTGGGAGTTGCTTCCTTGTGTCTGCAGCACACCTGCACGCCAGCTCAGGTAGGGCCCAGTAGCTGTCCTCACTCGGATGACCCTGCCTACTGCAGCAGACTGAGCATGCGTCATTCACACATGCATTTTGTACTATATAGACTGCCTCTTGGAGAAGAACTTGGTGAGCATAAGCACTAATACTTCTGATATATTTGTATCACCAAGAAACATAATTATTTCAAAAATCAGATTCAACTATAACAGAAAGGATGTTAGAATTTCTGTTTATACTTGAAAAATAGTTAGCATAATAAATATGAATGGGAGATATGTCCTTTGATTTTATATAAAAGTCCATGTAAAGGCACAGATTGAATTTAGCAAATTTAAAAAAAAAAAGCAAAGCTCCTAATATTAAAAGACATCTGGCAAAAATACTGACCTACAGCTTCCAAGAGGAAATATCATTTGAAATTCAATCTAGAAAGTTGCAAATGGGGATCCATGCACTTATTCAACAAGATAGAGAAACTTCACTAAATTTGGCTCAGGACAGCACAATGCCAAAATTCTCTATATGTCCCTCCCCCTTATCCTGGGAAAAATGGATTCTTCATTTTTTATAAATCCTATCACAGCAAAAAACCCTGAGTTGATTCTCAAGATCAAATAAGCACCGTCTTGACCCTTCAATTGTTTGGCCATGTCCAAACCTTCCTTCAGATCTACGTTTTGGCCTCCTTTCCTTGGGGTCACAGCTCACGGTCCCTCATTTCACTCCAAAGTTTAACATCATAAACCAAGAAAAAAAGATTTGCTCTCTGTAAAGAAAATCACAAATCTGTTTTGTAAAAAATTATTACAAACATAGATAAATAATATTTAAAAATGGGTCAGGTGGGCAGCGCCTGTGGCTCAGTGAGTAGGGTGCCGGTCCCTTATACCAAGGGTGGCAGGCTGGAACCCGGCCCCAGCCAAAACTGCAACAACGACAAAAAAAAGGGGCAGTGCCTGTGGCTCAAGGATTAGGGCGCCAGCCCCATATACTGGAGGTGGTGGGTTCAAACCCAGCCCTGGCCAAAAAAAAACTGCCAAAAAAAAGAGTAAAAATGGGTCAGTTAATACTCTCAAAATATCACAAGAGGTTAAATACCTTAAATTTCAAAATACAAAAAGACATGTATATACACAAATCTTATCAAAACTTTAAAATATAATATTAAGAAATGTTTTTCTTTATCACAGTTATTAACTAGCCAGTTGGTCATTCTTAAAAAATAAGTGACCCACATCATGAGCCCCATAGCGTGGGAGAGGATGGCTCCCCAGCGGCATCTCTTCTTCCACCTGAGACTTGCCAGGGCTGGAGTTCTCTACCCATGCTGCCTCTAAATAGTTTGTGGTGTTACACAATTTAACCTCCCCAAACCTCAATTCCATCACTGTTAGCATTTTCCAAACATGGGGTCCAAGGAATGTTAATCTCATGAAAATAAGTTCTGTGGTCAAATTTTTAAGTCAGATACACACAATTTCTCCCTTTTAGAACACTCACAATATACATAAGTGTCAGTAAAGACATTGAGAAGTCCTGAAGAAAATTTGCTTAACTTTGTATCGATCTTAGTTACCCTCAGAATCCCTTTACTGACTAACATCTATTAGTATCATGTGGGCTGCATTGTAGAAAACACCCATCCAGATATTCCAGGTATCCTCTAGCCCAGTGGTTCTCAACTTTCCTAATGCTGTGGCCCTTTAATACAGTTCTTATGGGTTGTGACCCAAAGGCTGAGAACCGTTCTCTAGCCCTGATATTGATGAAATACAGGAAGAATAATGCAGAGTCTTTTGACACAGGTGCAGCGGATAAAGAGAGGATTGTGTTTCCTGGTGTTGACAAGTCACCTGTTCATGTTTACTGGCCCCTTGAAGAATATGATTCCCTTGTTCTAAGGTAAGACTTAATTTAAGAAAAGTGGTAATGATGCTATTGCAGAATCTTGGTGCCCACCTACCGTACAAAAGTAGAACTTATCAAGAATGATAAATTACTTTCAATACAGGTTAGTTTTCTTTTCCATCATGACTTATTTTTCCCCATAGCAAATGCTTTTGCCATTATTTACTAGAACAGTTCTGCCCAACTTTAATAGAATCCCTGGCCTTTACCCACTTCCTTGTCCAGAATGAGGTCAACTTGCAGGTAGAGTGTCAGTCCTCAGGTTAAAAAGCTGCTCTTCCAGGAAGGCACCCCCAAGGCCATATTGTTCTTCATGTAGACTGATTTCTTCAGGTGACAAGTGGCTTCCTCCAAGAACAAAGTCTGCAAATCTAATCAGGGGGTTGGTGGGGGGGGGGGTTTAAATAAAATTAATGTTTTTTTCTTTTTATTTTTTCTGAGACCAAGCCTCAAGCTGTCCCCCTGGGTAGAGTGCTGTGGCATCACAGCTCACAGCAACCTCCAACTCCTGGGCTCAAGCGAGTCTCCTGCCTCAGCCGCCCAAGTAACTGGGACCAGAGAAGCCTGCCGCAATGCCTGGCTATTTTTTGGTTGCAGCCATCATTGTTGTTTGGTGGGCCTGGGCTGGATTCGAAACCGCCACCTTAGGTGTATATGGCTAGAGCCTTAGCCACTTGAGCCACAGGCACCAAGCCAATAAAATTAATGTCATCACAGAAGAGTTTATTTGGAAGATAACATGTTCCCTTGCTACTTATTCCCTTTAATTAAATATGACTTTGTTTCAATAACGAATGGCATTTACACAGTGGGTGTAAAACTGGAACTAGCTTATGTGATCTTTCTAGAGACAACTATTCAGGGAAAAGGGTAGAGAAGTAGGCAGATTTATAAGTACCAAGTACAGCCAAGTGTACCCACTCCTGCTTTCTACTTCCCTTTCTTTTCTATTTTTATTAGTTTAGATTTATTATTTATTTATTATTTTAGTGTCAAATGCTTTCCCTCTTCCCTCTTACAAGTTGCAGGCACTCTTATTTGGGTAAAACTATAAGGAAGAGATAGCAGTAGGGAAAGACATGTTTCTCTCGGTGAACTTTAATTATTTTTCATATCAGTACAATGAGAACCATGTCGCACATCCCCTTCCACCTTTCCCCTTCCCAAATGGAAGTAATCATTATGGCCTTCCCTATAAACATTCGGTCAGTATCTATTCAGACATTAGCGGTTCCACTGTGCAAAGTCACAGCACTAAAGAAAAAGAACCTCTGACCACTTCCACATCATCAGTTATCCAGGTAAGCAGTCTATTTCTAAGCTGAAGTGCCTGCACCAAACCATCATGCTGTTCCCAAATCAGTCTAGCCCCAGCTGTGGTCTGAGTAGCTGAGTAAGACGTACTTTTTAGGCGTCTGGAGTCTGGAGATGGCCAGCCACCATGGGAAGTCGGGTCTGCGGCAGGCTTGGCGCAGTTCCTCCAAAGCACTGGTAGTTTCAGCATCAGTTTGTTCCCTGTACTCCTCTTCAGTAAGGTAAGTAACCACCAGCTTTTGTGATGTCAACTGCTGCTTCATTTTCCTAAAACATGTGGCATTTGGTTGCTACATTCCTGCCCAATTCAATCCTTAAGATTTATAAAAATACGTATCTTAGACAGTAATACTTGATGTCCTTTATATTATATCTATACTTTTTCTTTATCATAACTGAGGTATAGAGAACATAACGGAGGGGGGCAAGGGACGACCTAGGACATTTCCCCCACTTCCTGGACTATTGTAAATAATGCCCTAAAGCATTTGAGAATCAACTTCTGACAGAGATGTTAAATGCATTTTTCGTCTTCAGAGATTTCTAATCACACAATCAGACAATTAAAAGTTTGGCTTCTTTATTCTTGGCCTGCTGATTTTCTTGGGCACTAACAGAAACAAGCTTTACAGATGTCCTTATATGGAGACCCAGGAAAACACTCACCACTTACCCTCTAGAAGCTGGGAGGATTTGTGGGGTATCACTTCCACCTAGTGGTAGTGATTCTGACTAATCCTAGAGAGAAAGAGTAAATACAGCAGAGAATTCTTTTATGCACAGTAATTTGTAATAATTCTTCCTTTGCTTTTTGCTGAGGGGCTCATGATTGCAATTTTTTTCCTCAGGCAGGAAAGTTCTAAATCTCATAAAATGCAGGAATCTAAAAATCTCACGAAAATAGTAATGATGATAAGGTTTTATTAATAAAAACATTTGTTTTATTTTTCAATGAGTTGTTTTAAATGTTTGGGATTAAATTTAATTTAACCAGAGATTTCCAAATGAGCATCAGAGTTCCAGGTTTTAAAAACATGCATTTTCTTAAGAGTTGAGACCTAAAAAAACTATTATCTTGACCAGGTGTGGTGATTCTTGACTGCAATTCTAGGACTCTGGAGGCCAAGGCAGGAGGTCCTTTAAGCTTAGGAGTTTGAGAACAGCCAGCAAGAGTGAGACCCCCATCTCTTCCAAAAATAGAAAAACTATCTAGGTGTTATGGCAGGTGCCTGTAGTCCCAGCTCCCAGCTACTCAGAAGGCTGAAGCAAAAGGATTAAATGAATCCAGGAGTTTGAGGTTGCTATGAGCAAGGCTGAGGCCATGTTACTCTAGCCTGGGGCAAGAGAGTGAGAGTCTTTGTAAAAAAAAAAAAAATCTATCTTTTTACAATCTTATGGTTGACAAGCTATTCAAGGAACTACTGACGTTATTCCCTTCTCCTTTTCTGTGAACCTAGTTATGGATTTCTCTAGAGGAAAAACCCTGGACTCTGAATCAGAAGACTTGGACATGGTTCTGGCTCAGAGAATTACTCACTATGTGATCTTGGGAAATTCCTTAATGGTTGTAGTATAGTATCTGCCTCATGAGGTCATTGTACAGATTAAAAGACATGTTTTATGTAAGGTGCTTAGCACTGCGAGTGACCTACAGTAAGTGTTCAATGAGGATACTCAAAAGAGTAGCTACCATATATTATGTATATTATTCAGATATGCATAAACTGCTCTTTACAAAGTAGAAAGTACTATACAAAATCAAGGTATTAGTTCTCTAATTTATAATTTAACCTACACTTTCCTGTTTTACTTCCTAGTTCTTCATTTAACTATTCAGTAGTAAAAAGTTGAGGCAGCTATGGCATGTTTTGATTATTGCAGAACACACAGCAAGTACAGAGAAGAACCATTGTGCAGAACACACTTTGCTCTTGACAGAGAAGGAGGAGGAATTCTATGCTGGGCTCCTGCAGCCACAGCCTGGCAAAGGGCCAGGGGCCTGGAGGCTGCAGAGTGGCAGCCCCCTCCTGACAGACAGACTTCAGGCAATCCCGGTCACTGTCTGCCTCAGGCAAGGGGCACAAAGAGAGAACCAGCCAATGCCAACCCCCCTGACTCTGCCCTGCCTTCCAGCCTCAGTGCAGCTGCCCTGTCCTGTCCCTGGTGTGTTTTAAACACATACATAGGCACCAGATCCATAAGCCACCAGTCACCAGAGTCCTTTCTCACTGACAACTTTACACCTCATTTATTCTCTCCCTCTTTCAGCCCTGGTCTCATGCTCTACCCTAAGCTCTCATCATCTTTCACCTGAACCACCGTAATGTCTGATGACTGATCTCCTGCCCTTATATCCACCCTCTGCCAGAAGACAGATGGAACATGACTCAGTAGCTAAGGAGTGTTTATGGTATCTGGTTTGATTTTTGGTTTTTGCATGTATTTTTATTTTAATTAGATTAGCTGCCAACATTTTAAAATCCTAAGAGTTCACATACCAATCCTAATTCCCATTTCTACTTTTTCTAGAAAACCAGCAGATCTGGCAATGCAGGACTCATATTCCCACATGGCAACCTCAGCCCAAGCTAACTGGTCACTGTCCTTCTTCCATGAAGCTGTAGTGCAGCCCTCCCCAGCACACCCACTCCTCCACTGGATGTCACTTACCAAGTATCTGCCTGGGCCCAAGCGTCTGGATTGACAACTCCTATCTAGGCAGCAGTCACACAGTACTAACTATAAACCCCCACTGTGTGCAGGAGCATACAAAAGTCCTTTGTGTGACCTGCCATGCCTCTACCATGTGGCTTATGCCCACTTCGACTGCTGTATCAAGCACTGCCTACCTCATGATGGTACCACATGAGGCTTTCTCTCTGTCAGAAAGGCCCTCCACAATTATACATGGGGTTATTTTCATTCGTTCTTTAAGATGCTGCCAAGTAACCAATTTTCTAGGCATGTGTTCCTGAGCTTCTTCTGTATTTCCTCAGTCTTTGGGCAAGCCTCCCTATGTCTCAGCGAGTATACCTCAAGGACAATGACCATCTCTATCTGTGCATCTTATGTGAAAACAAGTGCTCAGACTCAGGTCACCTGACCTACCTTTCGTACTTCAAAGGGCTTAAGATTTCTTTTCTTTTTTTTTGCAGTTTTTGGCTGGAGATGGGTTTGAACCCGCCACCTCTGGCATATGGGGCTGGTGCCCTACTCCTTTGAGACACAGGCACCACCCTATTTTTTTTTTTTTTGAGAGTCTCATTATGCTGCCCTCCATAGAATGCTGTGGCATCACAGCTCACAGCAACCTCAAAATCTTGGGCTTAAGTGATTCTCTTGCCTCAGCCTCCCAAGTAGCTGGGACTACAGAAGCCTGCCATTTTGTGTGTGTGTGTGTCCTGGCTATTTTTTTGTTGTTGTTGCAGTTGTCATTGTTAGTTAGCTGGCCCAGACTGGTTTTGGACTCACCAGCCTCAGTGTATGTGGCCGACACTGTAACCCCCGTGTTTTGGGGTGCCAAGCCGGCTTAAGATTTCTTAAGGTTTAACTTAAAACCTAAGAGAAAAGAGGGTCCTAAGTATAAATAAAACTTTTAAATCATTTATGATTGATTTCTGTTTGCTCTTATCTCACAAGCATTAATGCCACTAACACAGTTTTTGGCTCAAATGAAAGAAATTTTAGGCAACTCACACAGAGCCCAAGTAATTTTGCCACTGATTTTAGTAAATTCTGGGTGAGCCTAGGAATGGAGATGGAATCAGATGCTTGGAGCTCTCTATCTTTCCTCTTTTTCAGAGGGAAATCTCCAAATTAAAAGAAATTATGAGATTAAATATGATGTATCCACAAATTTCCCCCAAACAATAAATAACACCACAGATCAAAACATCAAGTTTACTAGATAAAAAATGATGCGTACCTCATCACATAACTGAATGCCTTCAGTGGGTAGCGCAGGCTCCAGGAGGACACGAGGAGGATCACGGCCGTGTAGGCGAAGGGAGGCACGGCCACACCAGCATAGACCAGGAGCAGGGAGAGGAGCCGCAGGGTCCACATCAGAAGACACCTGCTTCTGGCATCCACAAGGGGCCCGTGTTTGTAACAGGCATAAAAGCTGAAAAACCCAACTACCAGAACATAGCCTGCAAGAGTAGAAAAGGTGGAATAACGTAAATCCAAACTAGAAAAATCATGTGAAAACCCTGGCAGAGTCTTGATGTGGGGTAAAAACATATTAGAAAACCTTAATTTTTGATCTTTTCCCAGTGAAGTAAGGTTGAGAAATGCACATAGGGCCATTGAGAAATTAGGCATATCAGATGAGGTAGCAATCCTGGATATATTAATATAATAATTATTTCTGTGACGTACTAGCATGTCTGTTTTCAGTCCAGTGTCTTGGCTGAGCAAATGTTATCATGGTTGCTTTGGTCACCAATAAGCACAGCTGTAAGTCACAGTCTGCTACAAACTCTATTTTTTCAATTTTTATCTTCTAGTCATAAAAGGGAAACGTAATTTTATAGGGGAGGGATCAGGAAGTCACCCTCTGAGTCCAGTATTCAGTCTCATCATTACTAAGGGCAGGACTATACAATATTCTATTTCCAGTTGTGATCCTAGGTGAAACACACATTGCCTCTTATGTATTCCACCAAACGTGTTTAATTTGTACTTAATTAAGCCTTGAGACCTAATTTCTAGTTTATAGGAAACTTTGAGGAGTGAGGAACATGTTAAATTATACCACAAAGGAGCCGTCAGATTAATTTCAGAAAGTGGACATTTGATGGGACAATAAGCTTGATCTCTTCAGTGTATCACTGTGACGAAAAATGGAATTGTTGTGGATTAAAAGAGATTAACAGGACAAAACAGATGAAAAACGTGGTTCTTGACCAGATCCTAGTTTATGCATGCCATCAACAATGACTGGGAAATTTTACAATAGGCTGCATAATAGGTAATTTTATGTACTCATTACTTTTTTTAGACTTAACTGGTTATATAGAAAAATGCTCTTGTTTTTCAGAGATGAATAGTAAAGCAGTTAGAGAAGCATACCATTATATCTGTAATTTACTTTAAAAATACTTTAGTATAAAAAAATTGAGCTAAAAACATACAATTATCAAGTAAAACAAAAAAAATTGCTTTTGTTTGGGGGGAGGTGGATTTACATGAAATATATTGTGCTAACAGTAAGATTCAATTCCTTCATTCTTCATTATTTCTTTTTTTTGAGACAGAGCCTCAAGCTGTCCCCCTGGGTAGAGTGCTGTGGCATTATAGCTCACAGCAACCTCCAACTCCTGGGCTCAAGCGAGTCTCCTGCCTCAGCCTCCCAAGTAGCTGGGACCACAGGCACCCGCCACAGCACCCGGCTATTTTTTGGTTGCAGCCATCATTGTTGTTTGGCGGGCCTGGGCTGGATTCGAACCCACCACCTTAGGTGTATGTGGCCGGCACCTTAGCCGCTTGAGCCACAGGCACTGAGCCGTCATTATTTCTTAAAACAAACAGTAAGAATATTTTTATAACACTAAACAAGAAAATGAACAGTTTCTTAGATTCTCTGTTTCTAAAGTGCCAAATTTTCATTAGTCATTTACATTTAGGATTTATTATCTTTCCTACTGAATGCATTAACAGAAAGAAAGAGACACATTTTAGAGAAACTTTTGCATTTACAAGTTAGTTGTGGTTAGAGTTAACCACAATTCAGGAGCACGTGCAGTCAAAAGGGACAAATACTTTTCTTTGGTTCTTTTGATCATTAATAAAGAAAACTAAGAGGGATTTCATAGTGAAATCATATAAAATGAGATCTAAGTGAACTGAAATCACCAACTATGGGAATAAAATAAACAAAATTTACTTTCAATAGCACCTCTCCTTAGTTCAAAACAAAAAGTTAGACGTAGGAGAGAAACAGCTGTCAATAGAAGACCTCTAGTTGTACTTTTCAGTTTTACCAATAGAACATTTTTTTTCACATTTACCTACCTAATATATATATTCTGTTTTCATACCACAGCCACTTCAGCTCTTCCATCAACTGGCATAAAACATAAACTGAAGCAAACCAACAACCAACCATTAGAGCCCAAAAGGTGCTATACTGTATGTGGAAGAAAATAAATGACATGTTTTTTTGGTTCATTCACTCTTATAAAAAGTAGAAGCAAACAAATAAGCCCTTTGCATTAGAAACTTCTATGTCAAAGTGCATTAAAGTCAGTTTTAGACACTCTCTAGCATCTTCCCAGTCAAGGTCTGGTCCATGAAACAGCAGCATCAGCATCACGTGGGAGCTGACCCTTAGGCCCTCCTGCAGACTGCTGAGTCAGAACCTGCATTTCTACAAGATCCCTGATGGCTTGCATGTGTATTAACGTTGGAGGAACACTGGTTTATAAAGACTACATTTGTCTCAAAATAATGCTGGTGTTGCAAGCTTTTAATCAGAACAATGCCATCATGAATTGGTATTTATTTATCCTCAGCTAAGTTCAGGGTATTATTTTTTTTTCATGTCTATGAAATCATGGTTTCCATGTTTTTAAACTCATTTTCACACAGTTTACTTACCTTTGGAATGTACCTTTTCACCAACAGCAGGACAAAGACTAATGTCATTAGAAGACCTAGCACGGTCCCCGAAGAGTAATAGAAAACAGAGTTTCTGTCAAGGCAAGCAAATAAAAGCCATCTAAGTGTCAAGTAGTACTTTCAGTATGAAAAATGTTTCTATCTGTCGACAGTGGCCATAAAGAACATCAAGAAAGAAAGACAGAGATGGCAGCTCTAATTATATCCTCTACTTTTAAAAAATGACATTCGTACTTGAAATTTACAGTAAACAGTTTGCCACTAACTCAAAACGTCTAAATTACCTTCTATGTAGCAGACACCTGTCTGAGAGCTTTATATGCATTCATGCTGGACTAGGAATAGTTATCCATGTCCAAGATTTACAGAGGAAACGGAGGCACCAAAGAGTTAAAGACCTGCCCAAGTCAGTATCTGCTAACTGGAGGATTCTAGACGAGAGCCCAGCCATCTGAGTCCAGTCTTTACTCTTCATCCTATATATGCATTTTCCACTTTATAAAGCTCATGAATAGCATTAAACACAGTTGATAACACTATAAGAAAAGCTAAAAAATGAACAATGTTAAGAATAGTTGACCAATGTTGGGTACTACCCAGCATCAGCAAGATATTGGAAAGAGACTCCTTTTTCATGACAGAAACTGTAAGAAACAAAATATCAGAATATGTTTATCCAAAAGTCAGATATTTGGGGCGGCACCTGTGGCTCAAAAGAGTAGGGCGCTAGCCCCATATGCAGGAGGTAGCGGGTTCAAACCCAGCCCCGGCCAAAAACTGCAAAAAAAAAAAAAAAATGAAAACTTAAAAAAAAAAAAAAGTCAGATATTTGTTATATTCAGTCTTCTGTATGTGGGCCACAAATGTAGGAGGCAGCCCAAATGGAATAGAGAGCATGGCATTTGGTACCAGAAAACTTGAGTATAAATCTCTGCCCTGACAAGAACTAGTTTTGTCATGATGGATGTTGGTTTTCTCATCTACAAAGTGAGAACAGTAATACAGAGCTCAGATAGTTGGTATAAGGATCTATATATATAAATACATGAAATATGTGAAAGCACTTCATAACATACACAGCAGGCTATGCAAAAAACTGTTAATGTTTCAAAGTCTTTCAAGCACTATTTTCAGATCCATTATTTGCAAAACCCAAAGCAAAACCTACAATTGCACAGGAGTGTAAAAATATTTAGCAATAAAATATAGGTCAAAAAAAGACCTATACCCCTTTTTATTCACAAAGCTAAGAATGTAAAAGTAAAAGTGAATACTTACTGACTCAGGGTCTTTGCATAAAAGAAAAGAAAAATGCCTGTCACAAACACAAGGAAGAGTTTGGGATCCACAACTGGAGTAAAAAAGACATACAAACACACAACATTGTGTCAGTGCAGTGTTGGTGAAAGAAGAAAGTCAATTTATTGAAACATTTCCCCAGAAAAACGGAATCCCAAGAGTATAATAAAAAAAAAGACTTACTATTTCGATGCACACTTATTGTGTAAGTAAATATCTTCCTGATAGGCTCCACAGAGAAGCACACAGTCTCCCCATAAGGATTGATTATTATAGTTATTTCATTAGACTCCTTTGGTGTCCAAAAGTTATGAATCACACATTTGACAAAAGACAGAATGGTTTCTGGATACTGGCAGTTATGCTTTTCTTTTATATATATAATACCAAGCAGGCCTGGACCGATAATGTTCACCTACAAAATAAGAACAAACAAATCCATAAACACAAAAGTAAAAACTTCTTCTAAGCTTCCTAAAAACATAAGCAGAGAAGTAAAGAGAACCCAAGACTGACCGAGTAAAGAACAGAGTTTGGTTCTGAGAGGCTGACCTGACAGATCTGTTTAGGCCAGACACACACTGGACTACAGAAAGACCTTTGAAAGTGCAGGTTTCTTTCAGCCAGAGGTCTGAGGAAAACAAAAAAAAAGTGAAGGTTTCTTCTCCCAAGTTATTTCCTTCTAGCAAGTTACCGTGGCCCAGAGGATGAGATAAGAAGATGAGATGAAGTACAGGCACCTTTATTTTATTGCAGGTCACTTTATTGTGCTTAGCAGATGCTGAGTTTTTTACAGATTAAAGGTCTGGGGCAACCCCACTTACCTAACCCTTGCAGACCAAGCAAGTCTACTGGCACCATTTTTCTTTTTCTTTCTTTCTTTTTAGAGACAGATTCTCACTTTGTTGCACTCAGTAGAGTGCCATGGCATCCTAGCTCACAGCAACCTCCAGCTCTTGGGCTTAGGCGATTCTCTTGTCTCAGCCTCTCAAGCAGCTGGGACTATAGGCACCTGCCAGAATGCCCAGCTATTTTTTCGTTGCAGTTTGGCCGGGGCCGAGTTTGAACCCACCACCCTGGGTGTATGGGGCCAGCACCCTACCCACTGAGCCACAGGCGCAACCCAACTGGCACCATTTTTCTAACAGTATACGCTCACTTTGTGTCTCTGCATCAGCATTTTTTAGAAATGAAGAATTTTTTTTTTTTGAGACAGAGCCTCAAGCTATCCCCCTGGGTAGAGTGCCATGGCATCACAGCTCACAGCAACCTTCAACTCCCGGGCTCAAGCGAGTCTCCTGCCTCAGCCTCCCAAGTAGCTGGGACTACAGGTGCCTGCCACACTACCCGGCCATTTTTTTTTTTTTTTGGTTGCAGCCGTCATTGTTGTTTGGCAGGCCCGGGCTGGGGATTCGAACCCACCACCTTAGGTGTATGTGGCTGGCACCTTAGCCGCTTGAGCCACAGGCGCCGAGTTAGAAATGAAGAATTTTAAAGTTAAAAATACTTCATTATAGTCTACTTTTTTTAGACTATAGTATAGACATAACTTTCATACGCAATGGAAAACTCCAAATTTGGGTGACTTGCTTTATTGCAATATTCACTTTACCGCAGTGGTCTTTAACGAAACCCATAATATCTCCAAAGTAAAACTGCAGTAGATAGCAAACTATCTGGTTATGTGTATAAACATAATAAAAATAGGGTTTATATCTCCACCATTTTCTGCTGTGACTCGGAAAAAGTGCTTCATTTCCCTGGTCAGCTGAGCATATGTAATTTCAGGCTTCACTCACCAGGCCTGCTGAAGAAGGACCAGAGCCCAGCCTCGGGCCCTATTCAAACTGCACAGTAAAGCACTAGCTACAAGCAGACAGTGACAACTGGATAATTCCCCTGCTGGCTTAGTGCATTGCTCCTCTCAGTCCCAGAGTAGGGTGAGGGAGTGACAGCACCAGCTATGAATCACAGGCATGAAGTTTTATCACTCGCCATCAACTCCTTCACTTCTCTTTGACTCTGGTTCCTGGCTGACTAGTGCTATCTCTTCAATGCCGCTTCCTGTAGTTATTCTTGGTGATTTCAATATACACAACCTAAATGCCTTCTAGTACCCTGGCTTTTCAGTTCCTGGAACACCTTTCCTCTTGGGCTCTTTCTTCCTAGTCTACCCACCTTAGCTCATTGCTCCCATGGCCGCACCCTGGACCTTGTTAGTAACAAACTGCAGCCTCTCCATACACTGTGCTTCATGCATCCATCTCATCGGCTGGTCTCCATCTGCTATCTTTCCAGTGTGTACCTTTAGCACTCCAAACTCGCCCAGGATCTTAGCGGCCTTCCCTGCTCCTCACCCAGTCCCTTCTTACCCAGCTAAATCCCATGACTCATCACTATACACCATTCCCTGGCATGTGCCCTTGACTCCTTTGCGTCCTTCATGGTTTGTCACACTCAAAAAATCCGACTCTCCACCTATTCCACGCTTGCATTAGCACCACAAAATGTGCTAGAGAAATGCACAGTGGTTTCTCTTCAAATCCATGACTGAGAACATGAAAAGGGACCTGAAAGCTACAATCACTCATGCCACACATTCCTATCCACTGATTCTTCAATTTTGTTGAATCAACACATGATTTCACAACTTCTCCTCCCCATCCTCATTCTCAGCTATTGTTCCTTCCTACTTCACTGAAAAGGGAAAAAATTGAAGTGAATGTTGACCAGCTCCTCCCCTACACCCAGCTATTTATTAGATCTGCAGACACATGCTCTGTTCCCTGCCCATGAGAAAGAAATTTCTGTCACAGAGGAAATTTACATGCTCCATTAAAGGAAAGGCCTGGACTTGTCCACTGGATCCTATCCACCTGTGCCTACCCAAGGACAACACACCAGCACTTCTTCCCTCCCTACATACATACAACATATTTTTTCCCATTGAAAAAAGAAAAAGAAACACCTTTACATTCCACTGTTCCTTCCAGCTACTGCCCATTTCTTTGCTTTGCATTGCAATAAAAGTGCTTTTAAAAGTTATGTGGGCCTACGGTCTCCAGTTCCTTTCCTCCCATTCTTTCTTTAACTCACTTCTATCAGGCTTTTAGCCCCAGCAGACTGTCCAGACAAGGTCACTGGTGCTTTCGTGTTGCTAAATAGAATGGTCAATTAATCCTCAGTCATCTTACTTGACCTGCTAACAGCATTTGGCACTGCCCTTCTCCTTGTCACACTTTCTCCCCAGGGCCTGCAGATGTCTTCTTCTTTACCCTGACTCCTCTTTCTCCCCTGCTGGCTCCTTCCTTCTTCTTGTCCTCTTAATATGACACTGGCCCAGGCTTAGTCTTGGTCCTCTTCTCCTCTCCATCTAAATTCATATTTATATCCATCTATATAAATATGCCTTACTGCTTACATTTACAAAAAGAAACACAGGAAAGATATATCTGAAACTAATCAGACTAACTGCCTACAAGGATTGGGGAAGAATGAATAGGAGGAAGAAGGGAGAGTGAGACTTCTCTGAGAGTACCACTATGTAGAATTTTGACTTATAAGCCATACTAATGTTGTTATATATTCAAAAATAATAAAAGTAAAATCAAATATAATAGGGGAATGCTCTGAAATGTGAACAAATAAAAATAAACTATAAACTATACTTTCAATGAATAATAAACCTATACGGAAGGGAGGTGGGTAGGAATGAATTAACCTAAGTAACTTTTTTTGTTTTTTAGACAGGGTCTCTCTATGTTGCCCAGGCTAGAGGTCAGTGGCATGATCACAGCTCACTGTAATCTTGAACTCCTGGGTTCAAGCAAGCCTTAGCTTCCTAAGTGCTAGGATTATAGGTGTAGGCCACCACACCCAGCCTAAGTAACTTTTGAGCATTCCATTTAGCCTACGTTCCCTTAGACAAAAGATAAAAAATACTATAAATGAAGACTGAACTGTTAGTAGGTTTGTTTTTTTGCAATGATATTATTTAGCAATTCTGAATCTACTTCCAGCATATTCTTAGATTAGGCGAATAAATAAATATTTTTGAGATAATGGGAACAGGTTTCTTACTATCAGAAAAGGGAGTTACAAATGTGGAAAGTGGAAGACTAGAATGAACCTTGGGTATTAGAGATACCAGAATCCATGTGTTTTAGCAATTGGTGGATACAGATGTGTGAGCCAGTATACATATATGTGTACACACATGACCATGATAGCCCAGTACCAATGAACATACCTAATCACGAATATTCCCCTGAATATGCCATGATTTAAGAGCTGGGTCTAGGAAATCACAAAACGAACCTGGAACATATTGTTTGTTCAAAAGGAAGGTAGTGCTCAAAAACGATACGCACAAGTTAAAAGGACACAGAAGCCAATCTGAAGGGCTCCTACTGGCCAAATCTAAGACAATCGGCATATCAAAACAAATAATGAGTAATGGGTTATAGTCCACTAAATGAACTGGCAGTTCATGAGACTATATGAGTATAAATACATAGGAGGAGGAAAAATTCTTCATTATAGGAAAATGCCAATGAATGTCAAAGAAATAATAGAATTAGAAAATCACCATTTGATAAATATCATTGTGATATCTGATTCAGGCAAGCATTGCTAGTGGATAATAAAAGTAAGAAAGTGGTAAAAGTATGTTGAAGAATAGGATATCCACATAGTCTTAAATTATCTCCTTGAAATATTCATTAAAGATAAGAAAGTAGGGCAGCACCTGTGGCTCAGTGGGTAGGGCGCTGGCCCCATATACCGAGGGTGGCAGGTTTGAACCTGGCCCTGGCCATCTGAAAAACCGCAGTGGCAACTGTAACAAAAAATAGCCGGGTATTGTAGAGGGAATCTGTAATTCCAGCTTCTCAGGAGGCTAAGGCAAGAGAATCGCTTAAGCCCAAGAGCTGGAGGTTTCTGTGAGGTGTGACACTAAGGCACTCTACCAAGGGCGACATAGTAAGACTCTATCTCAAAAAAAAAAAAAAAAGATGAGAAAGTAGTAATTTTCCAGAGGAAGAACTGGACAGATACCCCCTTTACTTGTGATTAAAGTGGGGCATGTTATCAGTAATGGTACAAATCAACGTCACGTGCCTCCTGATACAACGTTCCTACTATTTCCTCGGCCTAGAACCCTGGATGCTCCCTTGGGTAGCTCACTCACTTCACCGAAATCTTTCTCAAATGTTACCTTCTTAAGGAGAACTACTCTGAACACTCTTAAATACAGCAACACTGGCGGCCCCCAGTCCCTTCTGCCCACTTATTTTCCCTTACATTTTCACAATACTTACCAGTTTTATCATTTTTTTCCTTTATTACATTTATTACTTACTATCTCCCACCCCTGAAAAATATAAATATCCACATGGACAGGTGAGGGGGAAAAATGCAGGTTCCCCATTACACAGTGAAGCACTGTGCTGTGCTAGCCCACAGTGCTCAGCAAAGTTGTTGTAAAATAGGAGAAGCAAGGACCAACATGACTGCTACATCCAGGAAAGTTGCCCAGCACTTTCTGAAATGCCTAGGACGTTCCTGTCTGAAATGGCCAGCTTAAACCAGCCCTGACTGCATTAGAGCTGTCTCTCCTATCCTATAGTGCCCTTTAGCTGCGAAATCCCCACCCAGTGAAAAACTGTAATACAATTATCATGGTTGCATGACAGCATGATAGTGGTATTACACCTGTGTGGCATGTTTTTCACCATGAACAAGCAAAATACAGTGTAAAAACCATGTATTACTCATCGGAAAGGGAGAGAAGGCACCACCACAGGGTGGGCAGACGCAGACTTTGCATGCGAGAAAGCTCCTATAGAGTAATTTCCTGTACCACTCAGCACTGTGAACTCTAGGATTTACTCTAATAAACCCACCTAACTCTTCATGCTGGCCTGGTTTGAGTCATTCTTTGATCTTTTGGTTCTCTCGCAGTTTGTGGTGTGGTTTTTCTGTACTGTCCCAGGATTTTACAAAACAACCAGGATCTATTTTGTTTACCACTACAGCCTAGGAGCCTAGAAATAGTTTCTGGCACTTAATAGTTCCTTAATAAATATTTGTTACATGTTGAGTGAAGGAGAGTACTAGGCAATTAAGAGCAATTGCTATCGTGGCCATATTTGGGATCAAAGGTTACTCCAAAATATCTACGCAGAGAGGCTTAGGATAGCAATTTCGGAAAGTAGGAGGGTGGGTGCTGTCCTGAGATGTGTCTAAACAGCAAGTATGCTGTATTCACTTAGATGGCATACTGATTTGGAGTGGTGTGGGAGGGGCTGATGAAGAGTAGGAAGGAATTAATGTCCCTTCTCACACTGCCCTTCCCTTGAAAGCCCAAAGTCAGCTTTCCTACTGATTCACGGCTCTTTGTCACACAAAAGGTACTTTCTATTCTCAAAATGGTACATTTTATTTCCCTTTCCTTTTCTTTTTTTTTTTTTTTAAGAGTTTTACGTTGTCGCCCTTGGTAGAGTGCCGTGGCATCACAGCTCACAGCAACCTCTGACTCTTGGGCTTAGGTGATTCTCTTGCCTCAGCCTCCTGAGTAGCTGGGACTACAGGCACCTGACACAACACCAGCTATATTTTTGTTGCAGTTTGGCCGGGACCAGGTTTGAACCCACCACCCTTGGTACATGGGGCCGGTGCCCTATTCACTGAGCCCCAGGTGCCGCCCTATTTCCCTTTTCTTAAGACACGATTTAAAAGAAGGTCCTTACCTGCACAGTTGACCACATGTATTTCCACTTCACTTGGGTATTTTGATTGTAGCAATAACAGTCTGAATTTGAAGTTTTAATTAAATCCATTTCCGTCAAAACTTTACACCTTGTAACTGAGAGATGGAAAAGGAAATATATTTTCTAAATCTTTACTTGACCAGGATCTTTTTATTCCCAGAGGGAGATAATAGAAGCAGTTGTAACATTCTGTGCATGGTAAGCATGGTGATTATACTGCTTCAGTCTTTGCAACCTCATAGGAGACAGAAGATACTACAGCTCGGTGACATACGGAGGGCACTGTAAGAGCAGAGAACAAGCATTTCTTCAATCTTGTAGTACAGGGCAAGAATTAAGAAGAGATTCCCAGAAAAAATGAAACTGAGTAGAGGACTAAAGCGTACATCAGAGCAATGAAACTGAAGTCAGGAGATGGGAGGCAGCAAGTGCATACAGAATCATGAAGATGAGAGAAATCATGACAGTAGTTCACTTTAGTGATATCTGATTATTCTACTGACGAGGGAACAGATTGGAGTGCAGGATTACACCTGCAGCTGGAGAGGTCAACGGAGGTTACCACTACATTGAGAAATGTGAACTTCATCCTGACAGCAGAACAGTGAAGGATTTTAGGTAAGTATCAGCAGTAGTATCAGTTTAGCAAGAAACTACTGACACTCAAAAGGGTTTGACTGAAAAAGAGTTCAGTAAATATATAGACAGGGTTAAGGCACTAACAACAAGACACTGAAGTTCCCAGCCACCACCAGCAGCAGGAAGCTTTTAATAGCCCTAGTTCTGAAATGGCAAAGGAAGGACCCCATGCTACTGGAGCCACTGAAGTGAAGGAAGGGCTGCCTCATGGGATGCAGTCACTGCCAGAACTTCCGTGGAATGGTGCAGCGAGGGCACCTCAACCTGTCTCTCTCGCCTCCCAGCAGTGCCTTGAACTGACCAAATCTGACAGGAAGACAGAGGGCAAAGAAGCCCAGATGGTGCACTCCACAGAGGTCAGCTTCCAGGCGCTGAGCAGGGGAGAGAAGGGCTGAGCAATGATCTGCAGGAACAAACAGGGAATGACCAGCTCAATAAGGAAGTGACAGGAACACATCTGTATTCTGCAAAGAACAGTATGGAATATTAGACAAGAAGACCAAAGCCAGAAGAATCAAGAAGGAGGCTACTGAAGCAATCTAAGCAAGAACAGGACTAACAGAGGAGGGAGAAAAAATAGATTAATGAGCACTTGGGCAGTGAAATCAGCAGGCTTAGGAGACATGTTTGGTGAAGGACAAGAAGATGATGTCAAGTTTCTGGTTAGTGGGGAGATAGTGAGGCCTTTCACTCAGATGAGAAATACTGGAGAAGAAGCAAGTTTGTGCAGAAAGGGGATGAGTCCAATTTGGACACACTGAGTCTGCACTGGTGGGACTACATGAAGATGGACAGGTCTGCAGCACAGGAGAAACTGGCTGGAGACAAACGTAGATACACAAATATGTGTGTGTGGGCATGTAATAGATAACGTAATTGAGAGAGAAATACAGTGTTACAGAGGGGTGATGTAAATGCCACAAGAAAATTAGGGTTCGTTTTCTTCTGTGGCCACTGCTGTATTTGAATTTGAAATGAAGTGGGATGAAAGTCATAAATTCTTCTGAATGTAAGATGGGGTGTCACTGTCATATCTGTCAAATAGGAAACAGAAATAAGGAACATGTCTGAGTACACACAGAAAGGGGCCTTACACCCAACCCCTGACTCCTCTAACCGAAGTGCAGTCAGCTGTTTCTCCAGAAAAACCTGAAATGAAGCTAGAACAACTGCTATGCCAAAGTCGGGGAAGAATTCAGTAACTAGCACTAACTAGTCAACAATTACACCCATTTAGGGAATGATATTGAATAAGCTCAAGTAGGTCCCTGTCCTGGCTTTTTTTTTTTTTAAGACAGTCTCACGTGCCCCAGGCTAAAGTGCCATGGCCTCAGCCTAGCTCACAGCAATCTCAAACTCCTGGATTCAAGCAGTTCTCCTGCCTCAGCCTCTTGAGCTGTGACTATAGGTGTCTACCACAACATCTAACTAATTTTTTTTATTTTTAGTAGAGATGGGGTCTCACTCTTGCTCAGGCTGATCTCAAACTCCTAAACTCAAGGGATCTCCTGTCTTGGCCTTCCAGAGTGCCAGGATTACAGGCAGTAGCCACCACACCCAGTTCCTTGTCCTGGCCTGAAATATACTTAGCATTAGGTTGATGAAAAGTGAAGACAGGTTTTCGCTACCTCCTGAAACACAACTGAATAAAAGTCAGGATTCTCAAGTGACTATATAAAGCAGGGAAGTTACATGAGGAACTAGAGTATTCCACTGTGACAGTCCAATCATTTCGTCTTTACTCTTTACACTGTGATGTAATGTATATGCTTTTAAATATATCAACAAATTTGCAGAGTTTAAGAACATGAAATGCAAACATAAGAATCCAGGTTAACAGCTAGGTTTCAAAAAGGTATAAGAAGCTCTCTAGAGGTTCTCTGTTAGAACGTGCTGCTGCATGGTCTGTCTGCACGAGAGAGCAAAAGGAAGAGTGCAGAGCCAGCGCTACAAACACATGAAGCAGCCCAGGGCGAGGCACATTCCTGGGGTAGCCAAGGTGGAGATGACTCCTGGCCACGAACAGCACAAGGAAAGGGCAGGCCCTGGGCGTCAAAGGCCTGACAACTGCTGTACAAGACATATGACAGGAAGGCAGAAGAACCAGGAAGAGCCTGATCAACAGAGATGAGAAAACATTAACTGTCCCCAGGTAGGGGCAGGATCTGGTCTCTGGACTTGCCTTCCAGTATCCTATGTTCTGCCTCCGCACAGTCTCCCTGGCGTTCTCTGAGCAGGAACCAAGGCTAGAGGGTAAGAACTTTACAGTAGAGTCTTCAGTGAGAGGAAGGAATTCCCACCGATCCTTGGAAAGTGAGTGCCTTCCGGCGGGGCAGGTAGGAGGATGTCTCAGGGGCACAGCCCCAGCTGCCCCAGACTATTACAAGAACATTTACTCCAGACAGCGCTTTCTTCACTTCACGTGTGCTCAGTGTTTGGCGGGTTTTTCTCAACTACTTCTTCTCCTTCTCTACAACTACTCTCCAAGGGAGCTCCACTACGTCAAGAACTGAAGTAATTTTCATAGAAAAGTAGTGTCTGAGAAAATACACTTGTGGGGCCTGAGATGTACAAATACATGCTACCTTCAAATGAGACTTTTTTCCATTGGGTCCTAAGTCTTAAGTCTGTCTACTAAATCATTTAATACCTGTAGCTCTCAAGAACAAAATGATGCAACTTAAATATGACATTGTAATTTGAACTGAGAAGTAACTCCTGCTCTGTTACCCACGCTACATTCATATTGCACATAGATACCAGTCTTCTGGCTGGTCTTCCTGCTTCCAGAATTGCCCCACAATTTCATCCACTATCTACTCTCCAATCATCATATAGATCTTTTCAGTGCATCAGAGTACGAATTTACCTGCTCGAACCCCTCCAACGACTTCCCATTGTACTATAGTAAAACACCTCCTCCCTTCTGAGGACCTGCATGCCTCTGTGACCTTCCCTCCTCCACCTTCCTTCCCACTGGACTGCACAGCCACACTGACTCTCTTGTCCTCAAGCTGCTGGCACACATCTATCTCAAGTGTCCTCAGTCTGCAATTTCTTCCCCCAGCTCTCGGCAGGGCTTGTGCCTTCCAATAACGTCTCCTCAGGGAGACCTTCTTTGACCCCACTGTCTACACCAGCACACCCCAATCACTTTCACCTGCTTTCTTCGTATTACATATGCACATATATCTGTTAGCTTACACTGTTTCTCCATGAAGTCAATGATGTTGTTTGTTCATTACTGTAACCCCCAGAACTTAAATATTTGCCTTTTGGGTGTGACTTGTAATGTGAGAGGTTCTTTGGGCATGCATGGCCTCACTAGTGAAAGCCCAACCTTTGTAGGAGCCTAGCCAGGGCCAGTCAGCACCAGAAAAGGAAGTGAGCGCCCCTTGAAATCACCTGATGAAACAAGACACCCTCTGCAGTCTGTGGCACTGACAGGGCATCTTCAGAACCCACATAGCAAGAGGCCCAATCCGGAAGGCACAGGCTACACCTTTCCCTTACTCTACCCTATTGTCAATGTACCTTTAACTACGGGGTTGAGTGCTGGAACCCGTGATGTCCCCTGGGCTAGGCACCACCTTCTCACTCCTCACCAGACAGAAGACGGCAGAGGGAAGTAAGAGGTGGCAATAAACTTGTTTCTGTTTGGCTCGTATGTAACACATTAGTGTATTCTGTGTGAGGAACCTCCTAGTTAGAAGAAATTAGAAGAAATAAACTTGTTCTGAATTTCCCCTCAGTTTTCAATCAAATTAAGGGAAGCATGATGCAAAACGTTTCCCTTGGATGCTCCAGTGGCCTCCAGCTTTTGAGGTGAAGCTGATGTGGCGTTTACACAAACAAGGGAAGATATCAACAAGGGGTTAGCATTGCCTGGTGTTCTCTGGCTGGTCTTCCTTCTTATTACCACTCTCCTGAGGGGACTGCATCCCAGTCAACCCACACAAGAATTCCTAAAAAAAAAAAAAAGGTCCTAACTAAGAGCCCAATCACAATAAGCCACAGCCACATAGGCCCGACTCCAAGTGAGTCCATGTGAACCTTCACCCATGGGCTAAATGGAGTAAGCACAAGACAGTGACTTGTGACAAGACTGTTATTGTGGCTGGCCCACTGCCTTCCTAGAGACCAAATCTTTTAATCTTAGATTGATGACAGAGATTCTATCTTTCCTGGGCCTCTTTTCCCTTTACCAATCTTGTAGACATTCCACTGTTCAGTTTCTATCTCCTTATATCCGGCTAAGGGTGAGAAACAGAAAGAGTAGCCAGTTTGATTGCTTATTTGGACTCTTATCACCAGGTAAGCCCTGAAGTGGTTTTATGTAATGATGGGGCCCCTGATTATTCATGCTGGTTAATTCTGCTAGGATGGAACCTCCTGGTAGCAGATGCAGGCAAACCTAAATGTGTTACGGCGACAATCCCCTTATAATACAATCTAGAAAATGAAACGGAATTTCTAGGAACTTATGAAAAAGTTATTTTATTATAATTCATTTGGTCCCAAGGGAATAATATCTCTCTATTGAGAGCCACTGTTTCCACCTGAGACCAAATTATGTCCCCGCCCTGGAGGGTGCTCCATAGCCTAGGGACAGGTGGTCCCCTGGTTACAGACTAGATACATTCCTGAGAAGGTCTTTAGGTAGGATTTGTATATAACTCACATCCCCAATGAACAGCACATATATGGTAACAATAATAATGACGATAGTATAATGGCTCATACGTGGTAATAATACAGGGTAATACTATAATAATAACTCTGCACTGTAAAAAGTCACTGAAACTATTGTGCTCTTTCCTTTAATTCAAATAAGCAGAACATACAAACTTACACAGCAAGTTTAGATAGTAGAAGAAATTTCAAAAAAGAATATTAAAGGTTAACACTCACTGCCGCATCAATGCTAGACTAAAGGAATGTTATGCTTATCTTTATTTTCTGACCAAATCAGTAATAACCTTTCCATTTCAATAATTAGTCTACTATGTTGCTTAGTAATACTTGATGCTTTCATTGGAGCACTGCCTGTCGCATATTCTATTATTCTCACTTTATAATTGTTCTGAAGGTAAAGTGACTAAACCAATAATTTCCCAATGAATGATGAAGCCCGGCCTTTATCTGAAGGGTTAATTAGTTAATTTATTTTTACTTTCATTTCCATTGTAATCATCTTTTTCTTCAATGCAGGCTCCCCCGGACTTGCTGTGGACTTTCACTTTGGAGGCATGGTCACAAGGGTAAACACAGACTCACAAAATTGACAAAAATGATAAGAGGGAAGTGATGCTGTGGGTAGGCAACCCTATAAACAGTGAGGCCAAGTTATTCGGGGAATGCTACTGTGCCAGTGTACTGCTTATACCATGAGGGTTTGTTTAAATACATGGAAGAAACTACTTCCCAAATTATTAAATCATATGTTACCCTTATGGGGAGCCTGTTCATAAGTATGGAAGGATGTAAGTCAGATCATCTGTACCTAGGGACTGCCAGTATTCACTTCTTCAAACCTGATTCTGATCAGAGGAAAGATCTGGAGGGGTAGGCTATCTTAGCTCTGCCTTGTCTCTCAAGCGCTTAGGAGTATGGGTGGTACCAACCCTGAATGCCATCCTTACAACAGTAAGCTGGTTTCTAAGGCCTGGAAGGAGCATCACCTCCCTTAACAGCCTACAGTCCTCATCAGCCTCTCTTGATCCTTTCAATTAATCTGACTTCTGGAAAACAGTATATTTCTAATAGTTATACCCAAACTGCTAAGTATACAAGGCTCTACTTATTTACATTACCAAAAGATTCAAGCAGGTCTCTTTAACGAATGAAATCAATCCCTTAGTTCACTTTAAATACCACCCAATTTACAAACATTCAACTAATCTAATTTTGAGGTTATATATCTTATAAATAAAAAGGGACAGCAGCATATCACCTTGCTGAATTAATAAATTCAATTTAAAATAGTTCTTTTTATATACTTTCGTCACTTAAGAGTTTTCTTAAATAAACTAGTAAGTTTAAAGTTAAAGAGTTTAGTCACATATACAGTAAAATATTCAGTCAAAATTTCAGAAAAGAGCAGGTAGTACTTAAACCTACCATGGAATACACTAAAAATGAAAAGCACGAATATGGGGTGGCACCTATGGCTCAGTGAGTAGGGCACTGGCCCCATATACAGAGGGTGGCGGGTTCGAACCTGGCCCCGGCCAAACTGCAACAACAAAAAAAATAGTCGGGTATTGTGGCAGGTGCCTGTAGTCCCAGCTACTTGGAAGGCTGAGGCAAGAGAATCACCTAAGCCCAGGAGCTGGAGGTTGCTGCAAGCTGTGTCGCCACGGCATTCTACCAAGGGCGACAAAATGAGATTCTGTCTCTAAAAAAGAAGAAAAGCACAAATACTTCTCAAATATTAGATCCTAACCTTAACATAAAAATACTGCACCGTGTTCCTCCTGAAAACTTAACTTTACGTGGACCTAATACAGGAAAAACTATCTCCAGATGAAACTGTAAAAAAATAACAATATAAAACGTATTAAACTACTATAAACTTATTGAACTACATTTTCTCCATTTGACCTACAGCCTCCTTTCTTTGGGGACAACAAAGGGGAGAAAGAAGACTAAGAAAAACAAGAAGCAAGATCCCAACAAACTTTAACTGGTGAAGAGTTCAAATAGACTTAGGATTTTTCTTAGTTTTTTTTTGTAAATTCGTATTTTCAAAGGGGTTAATATGTGGTACCAAAGTTACAAAGGTAACTATCCTATTAACCCCAGTATTTTTTTAACCTGAATATAAATCTCAATGTTTATTCCTCCAAGAACATGGGAATGAAACTGGAATGTAAATGGTGATTGATGGACATTCAAGTTTGATTTCAACTTAAAGCACAGATTCGTCTTCTCCACAGATGAATTTGAAGGCTGTGGTTTCAAATGACCTATTGTTATAGTTTAGGCCTGAACTTCACCTTAGGACTACACATTGAACTTCATCTCAGGACAACATGCAGTTTCTAGGGAACTCATCCACTGTTTGCAAATTACAAGCACTCTTGGCTTTCAGTTTTTCTTCTTCTCAGCCAGACAACTAACTACCCACCCTTCCTGTGTCAACTGCCTCTGACACTTCTCCAAGTAGGGTGACAAAAAGCTGAACTTGCTCTGAATGTTTAATATCCCACGGAAGGGTATGTGTATTTAAAACAAAATTTTAGAGTAGAGAAGGATCTTAAGTATCATGTATTCCAAGTATCACCTTAATTTCACATTAAGAAAGGGCCTTAATTAATGGAAATATAGGCTGTTTCATCTCAGAGTTTATCATAAGACTTTTAGAGCAACAATGGTTCTTAGACCTAATCTAATCCAGAGCTTCCAACAATGGCACCCTGCAGGACCCTGGATGCTTCACGGTCTGCCGTGTAAAGCCTATTTGGAATTGCAATCATTTCTTTCTTTTTTTTTTTTTTTGAATTGCAATCATTTCTACAAGGCCATGAAAGTTGCCATTTTTCTTAGCTGTGGACTAGAATTTTATCACCCAGTGATAAATGCCTCTGACAAGCATTTATGGATATCTTTGATTAACAAAATACAATAGCAAAATATAACCACTAAGATGGTTAACACAAAAACCTGAAAAACAATGGGTTCACTGAGGCAAAAGAAAAAAAAGGAAAATCTGGAAACTATTCAGCAATCAAACATCCTCCTTATACTGTTGAGAAAACTACAGTCCATAAAGACCATGTGCCTGGACCAAGGTTATATCAACAAACAGTAGCAGGATGTAAAGACTGGAGTAGAACGCAAGGTTCTGGGAGTTGGTCTAGGGCTATGTCTAATTTTCTGGCTATTGCCATGCCCAGAAACCCTCTTCCACAGACAGATTTGTTTATTTTTTCACTAGCATACACTTGTTACATTTCTTAGGGCTAGGCCTTTGTTCCTTTATCTGTAAAATAGGTATATAAAAAGGTGGCTTCACCCATAGTATTTCTATGGGTATTAAATATGAAAGATAATGCAGTTATAGCACTTATAACACTGCCTAGCACATAGTAAACACTCAATAAATATGGCAGAATTTGATAACTGCCTATCTCAACATCCGTTCTCTCCTTCATCCTTAGACTAGGAATCCTAAGTTCACTGGAAGGAGGGCCATGTCCAGCTAAAAGGACACACTTGGCAGCCTCCTTCGAAATCAGGGTGGCCAATGCAATAAAAGGAAGTTGGTGGACAGTGCATCCAGGAAAGGTTTTAAAGGATTTTTATGAGGGAGGAAAAAACGAAACAAATATTAAGCTCAAGGTAAATCGGTAGCAGTTCTGGAGTTAGAACTCCAGTTTTCTGACTTCCCTAAGTGACAGGATCTTGAGAACTCTCCATGGATAGCCCATACTATGAGCCACAGTTATCACTTGTTTCCTATGAACCCAGCATTGTGCCCATGTTAAACATCCCAACAGTGCCCGAGGTATCACTATCTGCGCCTCACTTGTGACCAGTCGTGTTACTCACTCGAGGTCACGACAGTCGGGGGAGAGGAATTTCCCTCCGACTCTAAAGCCACAGCTTTTACCTTCTCCATATGGTCTTGAGTCCAAAGGCATAGCTAGAGAAATAGTAAGGTTTTCAACATAAATTGATGCTACTATACGAAAAGCTCTGTATTGAAAGTCTGGAAACGTGGGTCAGTTGTGCCAGTGAGTGAGTGGGGGACCTTGGACAAATCTGAGTTTCAGTCGCTTCTGTAAAAGGAGGGAATCGGGCCAGACTTTGAACTGTGCTGCCGCCTCTAGCTCTAAAATCACAACTTGTCCAGATGCCAGCAGAGGGGGCCAGGGAAGTCCCAGGCGGCTGCAGGCGGGGCGGGGCTGCCCGGGAGCAGGCCGCGCCCTCGGAGTGGCCCAGAGGCCAGGAAGGGGAGCAGGGCCGCCCCCGGTGCCCAGGTTACCTGACAGTGCCGTCAACGCCGCCTCCTCCCCGCGCGTGGTGCCCGCGGACATTCTGGCCAGGGGCGGCAGCCAGAGCAGCAGCCACCACCGCCCCGGGCGAGGCCGCATCCCTCCCGCGGCTTCCCTCCGTGCCCTCCTTGCCGGTGGGCGCCGGTTCCGCAGAAAGGAGCGGATATGGCGCGGGGCCTCCAAGGCGGGGGAGGGGAGGTGAGGCCGGCGCGCGGGAAAGGCGGAGACCCCGCCCCGGGCGGGGAGTGGCCGGCGCCCCGCCCCGCCCCGCCCGCGAAGGAGGCCTCGGCCCCCGCCGCCTGGTCGCGCTCTCGCAGCCCCTCCTGGGCCTCCTGGTCCCCGCTCTCGCCGGGCTTCCGGGGCCTCGTCCCGCCGCTCTTAGCTCAAGGTTAGGGGCCATAGAGAGGAAAGGGGTCGCTCACCTGGGAGTTTTTCTTTAAATGTACCTTATCTGTGACCTGAAGGGTTGAAGGACTGAGTTCTCTGAGCTACAGTGAGTGACAGCACGTTACTGGGAAGGCCCTTCAGCAGCCCCGTTTTGTAGATTAAATAAGTAAATACCAGTTTCTTTAGTTTGCCTTTCTATGTTTTCTTTGGGTGGGGGGAGAGTAACAAGTAGTAACAAACTGAAAATAATTTGGTTACTTGAGTAACCTTGATTTGTATGTTTAAGCTCATAAACATACCACATTTCAGAGTACAAAAGGACTGTAAAATGTTTCTTCACCAATGTAACAATCAGTTATCTCTTAAAATTACCTTGTATTAAAGAAAGAAAACATAAGATAAAAACGTATCTTAAAGGATCTTAATGTTGATAATTAGGATAGTTTCTTTTTAAGAACATAGCCTCCTTGGGTCCTGGAAACCTATTGATTTGATTTAATATTCTATACTTAACTAGGATAAAAAATCTTTTTCTCTTCTCTAATTCTAGACTTTCACTGAGTGTACCTCAGAGAACTCAGTGTGACAGAAATCATCCTTTTAAAAATAGTTCAGCCACATTTCTCCTAAAAGGATAGACTAGGCTTTGCCTAACCTTAAAGTAAGGTTTAACCAACTTTCTTCAAACCCTTGGGACCATGCTCTACATCATATGTGGCTTTTAAAAGTTAAGAAATTTCCTTGTAAGGGCCCCTTCAGGGGATGATATTAAAAAATAAGCCATCATTAGGCGGTGCCTGTGGCTCAAAGGAGTAAGGCACTGGCCCCATATGCTGGAGGTGGTGGGTTCAAACCCAGCCCCCGCCAAAAAAAAGCCATCATTACTTAAGGTCCCGCTGTGTCTAACCCTTGAAGACTCTCTCCAAAGAAAGGGCAGAGGCTCTGATCCAATTCTTCCACATGTCCCCATGTGCATTTCCCTCATAGAAGACAGCTTTTTGACCTAACCACATGCATTTTGATTTGGTTTAATTTTGAATGGCACCGTGGAAAGTGGTGAAACAGGTAGATGGAGAATGTGGTTTTCAGCATATGTATCTGGTAGAGAAATAAAAGAGCAAGCAGCATCACACTAAATACAGAAAATACCAGTGTAGTAGATCCTTAGTAAATACGTGTGAAGAAGCTATATTGAAACACATTTCTAGCTGAACCCAGTGGTTTACACATGAAATCCTAGAACTCTGGGAGGCTGAGGCTGGTGAATTACTTGAGCTAGGGAGTTGAGACCAGCATGAGGCAGAGAGACCCCCATCTCTAAAAAATAGACACGCCTTATGGCCAGTACCTGTGGTCCCAGCTATTCGGAGGACCAAGTAGTCCTCTTGGATGAGCCCAAGAGTTTAAGGTTGCTATGAACTATGACACCACAGCACTCTACCAAGGGTGACAAAGTGAGACTCTGTTTTAAAAAAAGAAAAAATAGACATTTCTTTCTATAAAAATAGAAATAATTTTTTTTTTTTTGAGACAGAACCTCAAGCTGTCACCCTGGGTAGAGCGCTGTGGCATCACAGCTCACAGCACCCTCCAACTGCTGGGCTTAAGCAATTCTCTTGCCTCAGTCTCCCAAGCAGCTGGGACTACAGGTGCCCATCACAACGCCCAGCTATTTGTTGGCTGTAGTTGTCATTGTTGTTTGGTGGGCCCCGGGCTGGATTTGAACCTGCCAGCCCTGGTGTATGTGGCTGGTGCCTTAGCTGCTTGAGCTACAGGCACCAAGCCAGAAATAAATATTTTCTAGAGATAAGACTATTAGGAGGTAATACTTCTGTCACTGGGGGGCAATCATGAAATTCTGCCTCACTTCCCCTAACCTTTCTCTCATGTGAAAACCCACCTTAGCCACTAGGGGAAGAGCAGGAAACATCGCCAACAATAGGAGTCTGGCAAGATCCCCTGCTTCTGAAGGAGATAGAGAAGTACAAATCCTTGGCCCCTCAGAGGTGACAGAAAACACTAGGGCTCAGTGTCCTGAACTGAATCAAAGTGGAAGTTTGGCTACTGCTGGGAAACCCTCTCTCACTCAAGATACACCACGGATACAAGGATTTGGCTGCAACGGGGAAGAAAAAGGCAGAAATATTGAGAAAGCCCCATGTCTAAAGCTTGGGTGCACATAGCCTGCCTCATACCAAGACAGCACCAGGAGTATGGAGAACCCCCGTTCCACTGTAGGCCAAGCACCACTAATACCACCAGTCTACTAGTTGGGAGGAAAACAAATGTGGAGAGAGATCCCTCTGTGACATACGCATGCAGGCACTACTGAAAGTTGAGAGACACTGAGAAAAACTCTGCAGAACTCCAGGCCCCACAGTCAGACAATATAAATATAAGTTCAATTGAAAGCATGCTGGAACTTTAAACCTTGGGTTCTAGGGAGGTCAAAGAATTGAAAGACACACCACCAACAAACAAAGAACACTATAACAGAAAAGGGTGGGTCAAATAAGCTTCTCAGCTAGGACTACGCTTTGTTAGAAGAACAACTGACCTCTGCCTCTCCTAGGAATAAATATAGAAAAAAGCCTTGATTGCCACAATATTGGGCTACTGACTACCTGCCTTCTGAGAGGCATCCTTTGAGCACACGGAGGTACTCTGGCCAGAGTCTCTCATTTGAAAGCTGTCTTCCAAGCAATGAGACAACAGGATGAAATAGAAGAAGATACACCTTGTGTTAAAACACTCAGGGTTTATTGCAAGACATAAAAAAAGCTCTACAAAGTTAAGACAAGGCTCAACCCTACAGTGGTGGTAGAAACAGCTCACCACCTCTAGTACAACCTCTTACTTCTTATATAGTCTATAAATTACACCTATTTTTAGTTCCCATTGTAAAATTCTTACTTAATCTCTACATCTTAATTTCTGATAGGGGGTGGTCAGTGGTAGCCCCATCTGCCTTGTGGTTCCACCCACTTGTCTCCATTCTTAGATAAGTTCCTCTGTATGTTGGAATTCCAATAAAAATAGTTTGGGAAATACATCTTGCTCTACCACTCTATATTTTGTTCTGTTAATTTTTAGCTGTTTTCATCAGGACTGTTTCTTCTTCTTCAAAGGTTCCCTTTCACAATCCCCTACCAGAGGAAATGAATAAAACTGTGGTACAATGAAAGAAATGATAACAATAATAAAACTCAAACTGAGCTCAACTCCTAATTAGATCAACTCAACTTCCAATACTATCAACCTGACTGAAGAAGTGGCACATTTGTTTCTGGGCATCAGTATTATTTATCTCTGTGTTTACTGTTCTCCCACACATGATGTCAATCATTCAATCAAAAATTATAAGATACCCAGGAATATTAAAAACCAAACAATCAAATAGAGACAAAACAGAACCAGATTCAGATATGACTTCATATGTTGGGCAGTAATTAATATATTAAAGAAGCTAGTGGAAAAATTGGACAACGTGCATGAATACACTATTAGGAAATTTCAATGAAAAGATGAAAAAAAATTTTTTTGAGACAGAGTCTCACTATGTCATCCTGGGTAGAATGCTGTGGCATCACAGCTAACAGCAACCTCAAACTCTTGGACTTAAGTGATTCTCTTGCCTCAGTCTCCCAAGTAGCTGGGACTACAGGCACCCACCACAATGCCTGGCTATTTTTTTTTTTTTTTGGTTGAAGTTGTCTTTGTTATTTGGCAGGCCCAGGCTGGATTTGAACCCACCAGCTCCTGTGGCTGGTGCCCTAGCTGCTAAGCTACAGGTGCCGAGCCAAGAGATGAAAATTATTAAAAAGTGAAATGGAAATGCTAGAAATTAAAAGCACATTTTTAGAGATGAAGAAGTCCTTTGATGGGCATATCAGCAGATGAGACATAGCTGAGGAAAGAACCAGGAAACTTGAATATAGGTGAATAAAAATTATTCAGACTAAAACCAAAAGAAAAAAAAGAATAATTAAAACAAGAACAGTGCATCTAAGAGCTGTGAGAAAATATCAAGTGGTTTAATATACAGTATACTAGAATCCCAAAAGGAGAGAAGAAGAATTAGGCAGGAAAATATTTCAAGATACAAAGTTGAGAATTTCCCCAAATCAAATGAAAACAAAAGATGAGAAAATCTTGAAGACAGTCACAGAGAAATGACATGTCACATCGAGAAAGAGATAAAAAATTGTAACAGTCTTCTTGTCACAAACTATGTAGGCCAGAAGAGAATGGAGTGACATCTTTGGAGCAGTGAAATTTAAAAATGCTGTCAATACAGAATTCTATACCCAGCTACACTATCTTTCAAAAATAGAAGCAAATGTAGTTTTTTGTTCTGTTTCTGCAGACTTTCACTAAAAGAAATGTTAAAAGAAGTTTTTTACACAGAAGGCATGTTATAGCATATAGAAATTTGGATCCACACACAAGAATAAATAGCTCTAGCATTGATAAACATGAAAATAAATACAAACTTTTAAAATTATTTTAATCACTTAAAAAATAATTACCTAAAGCAAAACTAGTTGCAGTACATGTGAGGTTTACATCATATTTAGAATTAAAATGTACAACAGTACAACAAGGATGAAAAGGAAAAAATGGAAATGTACTATCATAAGGTTCTTAATCATGCATGATGTGATTTAATAGCACTTGAAATTAGACTGTGATAAATTAATGATGTGTATTAC